CTTAAACTTTCAACTGAAGAACATAAGACTTAAAACAAACCACCTAACAAACAAGAAAATACAATTCCTTCTAATCAACACGATCATATAACCCAAAAATCACCCTATCCCATCTTTAGCTAGTTTGTCAGCTTCCCAGTTTGCTTCCCTCAAAATATGCCTAAATATAATATCTTTTCCAGTCAAACTCGAAACTATATCCTTCACCAAGGATAGATGCAAAGGGGGGCTTAAACCCGGATTTTGGATCCACTTCGGAGCGTTAGATGAGTTCGATTCCACGATAAATCTCTGATTTGGGACAAAATCCAACTCCTCCATAAGACAAATCCCTCTTTTAATTGCCAACAACTCTGCCAAGATAGGAGGACCACCCCCTACTGATTCAGAGAACCACTGTAGCAATAGTCCACTGCTATCCCGAATCTGACCGCTATTTGAATCTATGATCCTAACTCTGTGTTGAAAAGCTTTGAAAATTAGGGTCTTGTGAATGGTAGAAATGAGTATCGACTCTTATGGAGTGGAAAGGATAAACAATGGTGAAAGAACATAATGTAGAGAGGAAATTGAGTGATTTAGGAGTGAACCAGTGGGTAAGGGGTGTGAATACTTTAGAGCTGATTTATAAAATTTTTAGCATAAAAAGTGCATCTCTCCGATGAAAGCCTTCGCCTTGCGTCTAAGCTCTAGGGACTCTTTGCGCATTTGTGCATCTAACGCCTTTTAAAACTAAGTGGGGAAGTTGAAGAAGTCGAACAAGTAGAAGAAAAATCAAAACACTATTTAGAGAACTTTTGCATGATTTGAATTTGAAAAATGATTAGATAAAAAATTTCTCCTATAAATTATGTGAAAACAACTATGGATGTTTCAAAAATATGTCAATTAGTAGTATTTTGGTTCATTTTGTACAATTTGGTCTTTTAACATTCTTTGGGAATATTAATTTAGACTAAAATGAACATCTTGAAAATTCTATCCCATTCTCCAAAGTTTTTAAAGGATTAAAAATATCAAATACTTCATGTTAATTTTTATTTGTAAATCGTAATACAATCGACGTAGTATTTACTTTTGTAAGGAAGGAAGACAAAACAAATCAATAAAAATGAGTATCTATTCATATTTAGCATGTGATGACCGTTTCAACCAAGCATACTTTCTTTCTTTCTCATCAAGGTGTACATCATCGACATACAAAATGAGATTGTCGATTTTTTTTGGATAAGATTTGAAGGCCTCATTAAAAACCAGCTTCTTGATTAATGGAGTTTATTTGTAAACTCCTTAATCAACGGAAGATGGAAACGAGTGCCTTAGAACTTCATTCAATAAAATAAGAATTACATCCTATAGAAAGATAAACCCAAAACCCCCTTTTGAACAAAAACATGAAACCCACTCGACCAGAACAAATGACATAAAATTCAGCCTATACCATCCTTTGCTAGGGCATCAACATCCATATTAGTTGTCCTTGCAACCCATCTAATAATCCCCCCACAAATCCTAAGATTTTCAACTATATCTTTAACAATAAAAGCATACACAACTGGATAAGAATCAACATTGTTAATCCAGTCCACTGCTACCCTGCTGTCACTCTCAACAATCAATCGAAATTTTTCCTCCCCTTGGATATAGAAGCGACGAAAGCAAATCCCCTTTGAATAGCTTTGAGTTCCTTCAATGTTGGAGGGCCCGGACCATCTGACTCCTGAAAAGTTCCTAAGATTGCACCTGAATGATCCCTTAAAATACCTCCCAGACTACTTTTCTTCCAATCACTACTAGTGGCAGCATCCACATTCAATTTAATGAAGCCTATTGGAGGAGGAAATCGGGGAATTATAGAAGACTTCAGGAAATTGTAGGACGAATGAGAATCCCCTATTGAAGGGTCTGAAATTAACGAGTCTTTAGGAATAGAGATATCCTTATACTTAGCTAGGAACCAAGAAGCAAGCCTAACTCTTGCTAAATAAAATAATTCAATCTGGTCCAACTTCCCCCCTTCAAAAACAATAAAGTTTCTGGTTTTCCAAATGGTCCAAATAACAGCCCCAGGAATGAATGACCATATAGCAGAATTTGAGTTCAACTCTTCCCAGCCTAAGAGGAACGTTTTAGCATCTTCATGAAAAACAATATTGAAACTCCAAAATTGTAAAAATTTGTTCCATAATGCCCACACTACCGAACAAGTAAAGAATAAATGCGAGGAAGACTCTTCAACCTTTTTACAAAGAGGACATAAATCATCATCAATTCCTTGAACTCTTCTTTTTGCCAATTCTGTTTTAACAACAAACTTTTTCTGCACAATTTGCCAAACTAATGTTTCAACTCTTGGTGGTACTAAACCTCTCCAAACAATATTCATCCAGAAACGAACCTCTTCTGATCCGGTAGCACACTTCTTAACACAAGAACTGACTGTAAACATACCATCCCCACTGCCTTTCCAAATCAAGCCATCACTGAATTCTTTAAACAGAGAAACAGAAGAAATAATGCTCATCAAGTTACACCATTGTTCCATCTCCCAATCATTCAAATTTCTTCTAACTTGAACATCCCAAATCCAGCTCGATGGATGAAAATCCCCAAACTCACATAGTTTTCTTGATTTATTAGCAACAATCAAAAACAGTCTTGGAAATAGGACTTGTAAGGGATAATCCGTTGCCCAAACATCCTGCCAAAATTGAATGTGCTTACCATCACCAACTTGAAAATTGCATAAGGAACGAAACTTGGAACCAAAGGAATCTTTCTTGAAATAGTTATTAACCACTGTTCTCCACTGCCAAGAAGTAAAAGATGGAAGCTTACTGTCAAACAATAACCTGGAGGAATCAAAATTATATTTAGAACAAATAAATCTCCTCCAAACAGAATTTCTCTCGTTTGCAAACCTCCAGGACCATTTCCCTAGCAAAGCTCTGTTCATGTAATTCAGATTACGTACTCCCATCCCTCCCTCATTCTTAGGTTTACACACTTCAGCCCATTTAACCTAGTGAATTTTCTTTTTACCATTGCCACCTCCCCATAGAAAATTAGGCATAATAGAATTGAGAGACTTAAGGATTGAAGCTGGAATCTTAAACATTGACAAAAAATGCGTAGGCAGTGAGCATAAGACAGATTTAATCAAAACCATTCTTCCAGCTAGTGAAAGAGTAGTTGCCTTCCAACCTGTTAATTTTGCGTGAAAATTCTGCACCACTGGTTCCCAAATAAGTGAGGAATTCTTTATTGCACCTAGTGGAAGGCCTAGGATTGTCGATTTGATGAGCTGAAAAATGAGAACACAAATTATTGGGAGCTGAAGCTTAAGGAGTTGTAAGTTATTTTTTTATATAGCAAAAGAAGCAAAAAGCTTCCTCTTATATATTGATGATGTATACCTTGATGAGGAAGGATGAGATACTCATTTTTATTGATTTGTCTTTCTTTCTTATAATATGTCAGTTGCTTTAGGACTTGGATATAACATTCAATATAAAGTATTTGATATTTCTAATCCTTCAAAAAATTTTGATAATGAAGGGGTAGAATTTTTAAGATGCTTCTTTTAAACTCTTGATTAACAAAAGTTTCTCAAAAATGTTAAAAGATTAAATTGTACAAAATGATCACAATATTATTAATTAGCATGCATTTTTTTGAAACATCCTTAATTATTTTACCTAACTTCAGAGTAGAAAATAGAAATATTTATGTCATCATTTTTCAAATTAAAGTTATGCAATGATTCTCCGAATATTGCTTTAGTTTTTTTCTTCTATTTGTTCGAAGAAGTTCCACTCTTAGTTTTAAAAGGCGTTAGGCACATCGAATCGTAAAGGGTCCCTGGAGCCTAGGTGCAAGGCGAAGGTGTGCTTTTTCTTTAGGCAAGGTACATTTTTTATGCGAAAAAATTTATAAATTAGTTCTAGAACCAATGGGCCATGGGTTTGAATATACTCTAGTACTAATTGATAAACTTTTTAGCATAAAAGGTCCGTCTCTCCTATGAAAGGTGCGCGCCTTCGCCTTGCGCATAGGCTCCAAGGACCCTTTACGTCTCGGTGTGCTAGTGCCTTTTAGAACTAGGAATAAAATACTTGCCCTAGAGTACTACATAATTGCAAGACTTATTATTCAAAAAAATATAATTAAAAGAGGAAAAACAAATCTAATAACACTAGAATTTAAATAACTAATAAACAACCAAGTAAATGAGAAGGACCAAGTCAGACTAGACGTTATGCATCAATAAAAATATCACTAAATCCGTGGAATCTTTTTTCAGTGGCAATATAGAGACAAATATAGTGAATTCTACTCAGTAAGAAAAAAAGGGAAAAAAGAACTTATGCAGAACAAAACAGAAAATGAAGAGAAAGTGATGGGATTATTTCAAATTTATTTTTTTAGTGAAGAGAAAGTATGGATGAAGGATTATTATTTCAAATTCAATTTTTAACTTATGAAATTGGTTAGTGGCTTTTTATCAATCCATGGGTGATCACTCATCTAGTTTCTTCCTGTCCTTTATTGTCTTTATCATCCCTTCATTTCTGTCCCTTTTCGTTTACTGCTAATGTTGTTTTGTATGCTCCCAGTATCATGATTTTCTGGTCATTGTCTTGGAAGACTGAGGTTCTTTTTTGGTGTGCATGCAAAATGCTTTTCAAATGTACTTTTGTGCACTTGTTTAGTACAGGTTTGCAATTCGCAGTACTAATAAGAACAAACAAGAATTCTGTTTTCAGGGTCCACCTGGACTTATGAAGGATTTTAATTCAAAGAATTATTTGATATTAAATTTTAATAGATAGACTATGCATATCAAAACCAGTTTGGTTCTTATTGGATGGGCTAAATAGAAGCTGGAATAGAAACTGATTACCTTTATTAAGTTCATGTGACTGCTCCTTTCATCTTTTAGGAAAGGCCTAACATATTTACATTGGATTCTTTGCGTTGGTTTGCCTGTAATTCCACAGATATTCACGAATGCCAAGAGATTTGTTGCCCAAAGTAATTTTAACTTTACAAGGAAGGATTGAAGCAGGTTTTCCTTTCAAAAATGATCAGACTGGCTTGCAGGCAGGGTTCTTTTATTTGTTTTTATAATTTCTGTTCTATTGGTGTCGATGAGAAGCATTTAGGTATTTTTTGTTGTGCAGATAATTATACCATATCTTCTTTTGTTAGGTTGCTGCTATTAGTTGTTTGACAACTGCTTTATCAGTTTCACCTTCAACCCAAGTTAAAGAAATGATTTCAGAGGAATTGTTGCCAGGTTAACTCACATTTTCATAAATGTTTGCTTATTTAATAATATATATTTTTCTTGTAAGTTGGGGTGGGGGGTGTTGTGGGTTGGTGAGGAGATGAATTTCATTTTGTGAAACTAATCAAACATATATGCTAATCACTAGATTGATTTCAAATGAAAGAGTTTATTAAAAAGCAGTTAGCTGATTGGTTGTACCTTTGATTTTAAAATTAAAACCATGGAGTTGATAACTTTTATAACAATATTTCATGCTTAGCAGAGAAATTTGTGTGACACCGAGCCTATTGTCTTTAATAAAATTTTCACTAATTTGAATCAGTACATACATGTAAGCATTTAGACATCATTGCATTAGACACTATGCCAAATGGCTTAGGAACAAAAACTGGTTATGTCCTGCTCCATGTTTACGATCGAATACCCTATTGAACACTTAACACGTGGTTCATGAAAATGTTTCCTGGTGGAGAAACAGCTTCAATTTCCCTTTTGTTGTGAGAGATCTTTTTTGGTACGTCACCAAGGGACCTGAGTGAGTGAATGTATCATTCCTGTGATGCAATAATTTTTTCTGTTTTCTTCCAATGAAATGATCACCGATACTCTTTTTATTGGTTTAATAGTCCAGTGTTTCTTTGGTGTGAATAGACCGTCAGGGTGAATGAGTTCCATCTCCTGTCCTACAAGTTTTGAGTTAATAAGTCGACTTTTTGTTTGCTTGTTTGTCTCTCTCTTTAAATTGTTTGCTAATTGAACCTTGTTATTTGAAGCCTATTCTAGGTTTTGAGGAGGCTGACAAGAAGTCTGGTGTTCTTTTAACATTACTTCACCATTGTGAACGACTAAGCAACCCAACAATTTGCTTTGAAGCACTTCAGGTAATTTCAGGTGAAGTTAAACTATAACATTGAACGCGCTTGTTAGTTATGTTGAGTTCAGTGTTGTACTAATGCTTCTATGTTTGAGCAATGTTTCATTCCATATCCATGATTCTTTTGCACGTGTTTCATCCTTTTCTCTGGTTAATGATGTAAATATTCTAAGAAAGCAAGAATTCAAATGAAGAGAGAACATAAGTTCTGTTCGAATTGCTTGCTGAAAAAAATACAAAACAACCTTCTTTTATAGGCTGAGAATTACAAAAATAAAGTTTAACTTGGTACATCTTTTTCCTAGGGGAACAGTCAAAAGAAAAGGATTTGACATTGGAAAAATTTCGGAGGACTTCACTAGGGTTTTTGGAATTTTAAGACTACTAGGCATCCTATTTATTAGGTATGTGGTGGTAAGAATGGCCAGAAATGTCTAGGTACATTATGAGTAAACATGAGAGACCTGACTACTAATAAAAGTCGTTTTTTTCTTTTAGCTGCTCCATTATGTTGATGTGTACTGATACACTAACTCACGTGGATAATTTCTTTTCTTTAAAGTATTATCCCAAAATGTTTGTAAAGTACTCACTACTATTATCGGTTTATAGAATTTGGATGTAGCATTGAAATGGGTTTGAATCATGGTGTGAAAGGATTTGTAGATACTCTTAGTTTCAGATTTTTCTTTCGTGAGGAAGGTCCAGGTAATCCTAGGGCGATCAGCAATAAACGATATAAACCAATGAGCCTCATTAATGTTTTTGACATGTGAAGAGGTTCCCTGATGTCGTCGTGTTTTATGTAAAATGGATGAGGCGTGTATTTGATGCTTGGATATATATGGCCATATATGGCCAGTATGCTTGGCAAGTTGACAAATTTCACAGGAAAACGACTTGGGTTTTTTTTATTAATAAAAAATGAGGAAATAACTTTGCAAGATAATCAAGATTTGGATGTTTATGGCGAAAATGTCATCACACCACGACCTGCCTCACCTCTGTTTGTCACTTTGAGAGGATGTATGAGCATACAAGGTTGTTCTTTCAGACACAGATGGATTCTCGGCCCTCATCATTTTTCTCCTGATTTCTTTTCGTTTCACTTCCGCAAAGACCTTTTAGATGGAAGGAAGAGGTTTGCTGCCCAAGATTCTGCCCCATACCTCGTCTTATTCTTTGTTGAGACCAAGAAGTTACTGGAATGTTCTTTTTTGAGAAATAATCTTTTTATACTATGCTGCATCAGCATAACACTGGCAAGAATTAGTATCAAATAAATCTAATTGCTGCCAATTCCTTGTGATGGTGTTCTTGTATTGAGTGGTAGTCAGATTCCCCTTCTGTAGCTCATGAAGGTTCGTCTCAATGTAAAATAGTTCAGAAATATTGTTTGAGTTGGAGTAGGTTTTCTTTGCAGCCTCACAAATCTCCTTTTCGTTTTGTACTGTAGGAAGATCTCTCCAATATCAATGGCCATAGAATTGATAAGCCATGGTGTAACCATATATGGTTCTTAACTCTCCAGGTGTGATATTTAGGATCATCAGTTGCTGGAATGACAGCCTCCCCAGTTGGGTGATTGTCTTTCCCTCTCCTTAAGATGTATATTAGAACGGACTGAGACCACTGAAGATAGTTGTAGCCATTAAGTTTGTGGTTTGTGATATGAATGGGTGAGGAATCTAGGATGACTGTTGAAGGGTGGGTGTTGGAGCTTGAGGAGATCTCTGAGGATGATATGGCTGGATTTGCCATGATTTATAAAAATAAAGTTTAACTGTGTATCTTTTTCCTAAACTATATCTCCTAAAAAAGCTTATCTTCTAAGAAGATAAAGCATAATCATAAAGAACAATTAAAATTAGAATTTATGATAAACAAAATCTCCTTTTCTAATAGCATTTTAATTATGGTAGTTTTCCAAATACTTGATTTTTCACTATTTGGCATAAAATATTCAAAGAAAGTGTATGGTTATGGGTAAATCATCGGTAACTGTCTGAAATATGTTATTTCATTCAATTAGACATTGTTACGCTGCCTAGGCTTGAATTGCTTCTTGCTATATAGAAAAGAGAGGAAATAACAAAAGCTAAGGAGGAAATGTTGATGTTAAGTGACCATGTTTACAAATGCTCGTTCATGTCTTTGGGAGCTTTCTTCTCCAAGTCTTCTACTTTTGCATTTGTCCAATTTGCTGGGGAAGAAAGTAGGAAGAAAGCAATCCAGTTTGTGAATGGGAAGTGGATTGATGGGAGAAGAGTCTCAGTAGGGATTGCTAAGTATCAAAAGGCTAAGAGGAGGGAAGCTGCTGATGGGAAAAGAATGGTGGAAATCAAGTCAGGGAAACAAATTATTTCAAAAATTGGGAGGAATGCTGAGTCGATGAGAAGTATGAGGGATGACAGATCGTATAAGGATGTGGTGAATTATGGTTATAATAAGAGAAGAGAACCAGTGTCATGGGCAAACTTGGAGAGTATCAAGCAGAATAGATCTGGTGTGAGAAATGTATGGGAGATGCATATTCCGTCAGACAATTCAGAATGGGTTAAGAGATCATTAACAGGGATAATGAAGTCATCTTTCGAGCATGATTCGTTCAAGGAAGCTTTGGAGATAGAGGGACTGGGAGTCCAGGTATCGAGTTGGGGTTATGCATGGAATGCTTGCATTATTACTTTCAAATCAGTGGACGAGTGCTCATATGTATGGAAGAATAAGAAGGATGTGCTGCTTAGATGCGTTGATTGGTTGGCTCCAGTACTGAATGATGATGGAGTTCCATTAACCCTTTGTCAGGTAGAGCTGTATGGATTGCCTCTATTGTGCTGGAATGAGGCATTTATCAAAAAACTTACTGAGAGATGGGGAAAATTTATATGCTTTAATGAAGAATCAAAGAGCATATCGGATCTCTCGTCGGCGAAAGTTCTGCTCAGGGTGGAGAGTCCTTTTGATGTCCCCGATTCGGTCACGATAGGCTCTTATGATAGATCGTTCAGAGTTAAGATTTCTTGGGGGGCTGTGCTGAATCAATCAGAAGAATTGGAGAGGAAGACATTTCAAAAAAATGGAACAACAATTATGTCTTGTCAGTGGAGGGGGATGGTCGTTTTCCTACTTTGGCAGCAGACAAGATTTATCAGAGGATTCTAGGCTGAAAGTCATCTCTTGGCTGAATTATGGACAGAATAGTGGTGTGAATGGAGTAAGTGGGGGACAAGTTCAATCAAGTAAGTCAACAACAGAAAATTCAAATTGTAGGCTGTCAGGTTTCATGGAAAATAGGACAATCTAGACTGAAAATCACGTGGTTCTGGGTGTGAGGGAATTAATGGACCCGGATGATACAGCCCGACCAGAAGAGAATGTGGATGCTTTTACACCAACTAAGAAAATCTGTCCTAGTGGGCCTGCTTATAATATAAAATGGATTGGGGATAAATTTTTTCTATAGCCAAATGACATGTCAGATAATTCTATGCAAGTTGATGGGGGTGATGGTAGGTCGATGAGAGAATTTGAAGGAGGGGAGAAGGAAGTGGTTCAAAGTGAGAAGGGGGTTGAATTGGAAAAAGATCAGTCGGTTGGGCTGAGAAGTCTTCATGGGGATCATTGTTTCAGCTCACAATTTTTTAAAGATGTAGAGAGGGGTAATGTTTCTGTTGATCAAACGGCAGGTTCAATGAAGATGAAGATGGTTATGGAGGATAATGTGTAGTCACAATGAGGGTAACTTATCAAGCTCCAGCGTAAGAGACAAACTCCGTGAATCAAGCTGGAACTAATTCAGGACTAATTATGGATGCTAAAAATAAAGCAAATGGGAATCATTTGGCCTCAAAAGTTCCTGTTCAGGTTCTTTCTCGGTCAAAAAGCTTAAATAACCACAAAAAGTTAAGAATTGCACCTCGTCGTTCGGAAAGTTTGTGCTCAGAGGGTGAAGTGTCAATAAGTTTTTATGATAGAGTTTATAGAAATATGTTTAGAAGTATGGTCAGGGATTCTTTGGAACAAGTCAGGGCGTCTTCATAGTCCATTCACTCGTCTGTTAAAGCTAGGATGGAAGCTGCTGCTACTAGGGAGGTTTGTCACATGTTGGGGATCACTTTTAAAGGGGGCAACAGATTTTAGAGGAGATTTTTAACATGGAGATGAAGGGGATTGCTAAGGAATCTTGAGTGTTTTTTCTGGATTGATTATGGTGTTGATGATATAAAATTTATATGTCAAAGTTTAGAATCATTACATGGAATGTTAGGGGTCTTGGGAGAAGTGAAAAAATTAGAGCTGTGAAAAAATTAGAGCAATGGCGAGACTTGTTAATAGAGAAAAGCCGTTCATTCTATTTCTCCAGGAGACAAAAGTGAATGTTTGCAAAAGTGGAGTATGGAGGAAGTTAGGGGGCAATTTCCTGAAATGTGGTAGTTTTTTACCAGCTAATGGATCTGCAAGTGGCCTGCTGTGTTTGTGGAATGAATTTTTTTTTGAAGTCAGTAGAGAACATAATCAGAGTACATTCTTGGCATTAACAGGGAAGTTCAAGATTATAAACTTTGATTGTGTGATAATAAATGTGTATGGTCCTTCAGTAGAGGCTGATAAAGAGGAATTTTTCAGGGAGTTGATGTGTTTTGTGCAGAATTTAGATTTTCCAGTTTGCATAGGGGGATTTCAATCTTATCTGGATTCGGAGGAGAAATGTGAAGTTGCACAGAATTGGCATTTCATGGATATGTTCAGGTCATTTTTACAGTAACTTAGTTTAATGGATATACTGTTGGTAGGAGGGAGATTCACATGGTGCAATAATAGAGAGTCTCCTACTTGGGTAAGGCTTGATCGGTTTTTAATAAGTGGTTCCTTCCTAAATCACTATCCAAAATTGATCCAAAACCATAATCCAGTGGTGTTAGTAGAAGAATGCAAAAATTGGGGACCTAAGCCCTTTCAATTATTCAATTACTTATTAGCGGAATATTGGTTTCTTGGGGTGGTCGAAAATTTACTGCTAAAATTGAAGAAGGATAATAAACTTAAGGATCTGTTCACATTACTCCAAGGAACCAAACAAGTGATCAAGAATTGGCCAAGCAGAATCCATAGGGGGATATCTGAAGATATTTCAGAAATGGAAGGCAGAATTAATGGTTTGGAGTTGAAGTTACAAGGTGGGGGTATTTCTATCCAATAAAGGGATCTGCTGTTACGATCGAGGATTGAATTGTGGAATTTGCATAGGAAGGAGGAAAGTATATGGTTACAGAGGTCTAGACTGAAGTGGACAAAAGATGGGGATATAAATATGAAGTTTTTTCACTTATGTGCTCTTAATAGAAACATAGTTAACACCATTTCAGCATTGAAGGTGGCTGGAAAAGAAATTACAGATCCAGACCATATGAGGGCTTTTGTCTTCAATTATTTCAAGGATAATTATAACACATGCAACGCTAGAGGTGGATGAAATCAATCTAAATCTTGCGAAATTGAAAGATGAGCAAAAGAATGGTCTTGAGGTGAAATTTTCAGAACAGGAAGTGTGGGAAGCAATTTTTCATTTGGACAGTGCCAAAGCACTTGGCCCGGATGGTTTCACGATAGGTTTCTTTAAGAAATTCTGGCCTAATTTGAAGGCTTATATTATGAAATTTATGGATGATTTTCACAGTGGTGGTAAATGGGAGCATGGGGTCATTCATGCATTTATAACATTGATCCCCAAGAAACTAAATCCTGAAGGAATTGAAGATTACATACCAATAGGCCTAGTTGGCAACTTATACAAAATCATTTCCAAAGTTTTATCGAGAAGGCTGGTTTCAGTTATTAAAGACATGGTCAGCCCTTCGCAGTTTGCCTTTATTCCTGGAAGACAACTGCTTGACTGTGCCTTTTTTGCCACTGAAGCCATAGATTTTTGGAGGAAAAAAGGAAGGAAAAGAGTTGTTTTCAAAGTTGATTTTCGTAGAGCTTATGATTCGGTAGAATGGTCGATTCTATTGAGATTATTGAAAGTCATGGGGTTTGGAGATAAGTGGATTCATGGATTGAATTTTGCATTTCTTCTGCCTTAATCTCGGTTTTAGTGAATGGATCTCCAACAGAGGAATTTCAGATGGGCAAAGGGTTGAGACAAGGTTGTAGTTTATCTCTTTTTTTGTTTAATATTGTTGGGGAACTTTTAAATTTAATGTTGATAAAGGCAGCAGATCGGGGTCTTTTTGAAGGATTCGGAATTGGTAGGACTGAAAATCTTTTTCACTTGACGCATTTACAGTTCGCGGATGATTTATTCTTTTCTGCAAAGATTCTCCTACTCAGATTCTTAATATTAGGAGAGTGTTGAGGGTCTTTAGTTTAATGTCAGGGCTCCATCTTAATCTGTCTAAGAGTAAGTTGTTTGGTGTTAATTCGGAAGATGATATTTTAAAAGAATAGGCATATGAAGCAGGCTGTGGGGTGGGATCCTTTCCTATGACGTATCTTGGTTTACCGATAGGTGTAAAGAAAAATTCAGAGGTTTTGTGGGAGCCAATAATCCAGAAATTTAATAACAGATTAGTTGGTTGGAAAGCTTCCTCATTATCGATGGCTGGAAGATTGGTGTTAGTGAAGTCAGTATTATCCTCGTTGTCGATTTTTTTCCTCCATTTTCAAAATTCTGTTCAAGGTAAATCAGAGGTTGAATTCATTGATGGCTAAATTCCTTTGGGGGGAAGGACTTACGAAGAAACAGATTCATTGGGTTAATTGGAAAACGGTTTGTCAACCTCATGAAGAGGGTGGCTTGGGAGTATTGGATTTGAGTTTGGTAAATAGAGTGTTACTTGGGAAATGGGTTTGGAAGTTTGCAAATGAAAAAGAATCTCACTGGAAAAAGATGCTTTGTTGCAAACATAATGTCAGCAATTTATATTTATAAATTAGCAAAGCAGTTTCTCCTCAAGATTCATGGATTTGGAGAGGAATTTTGAACAATTATGAGAAAAACGACGAGATAGAGGACTGCTTGAGGTCTAACTCGAAGATTCAAGTGGGGAATGGTAGGTCAATTGCATTCTGGAATGATGTTTGGGTTAATGATTCTACCTTAAAGAATCAATTCCCTAGGATTTTTGCTTTATCGACTAATAAATGGGGGAAAGTTGCTGAATTTGGTTGCTTCGAGAACAATGGTTGGGTTTGGAATATTCAGCTAAGAAGGAATTTATGTGACTGAGAATTGGAGCAGTGGATTACTTTAATGTCATTGATTTATAATATAGTGTTGATTGATTTAGTGGATGACTTTCTTGCATGGTCAGGGAAAGGTGATGGTCTGTTCTCGGTTAAGTCTTGTAGACAGACACTTTCTTGCAGATCTGGAGGGAATTATCAGTGGAACAAGTGGGTATGGTCTGGGTTGGCTCCCCCTAGAGTTGAAGCTTTTCTTTGGCAGATTTTTCACAAGAAAATGGCTGTCAAAGTGGAGTTGAAGAAAAGAGGGGTCCCCTTGGAAAATGTTCTGTCCTTTATGTCACAAGTATGAAGAAACAATTCAACATCTTTTTATCTCTTGCTCGGTTGCAGGGGAGATATGGAATAGATTCCTAAGGTTATGGGATATATCCTCTGTTTTGCCCCAAGATTCCTCCTCCCTACTTTGTTCTTGGTCTTATTTAATGGCTCATTCTACTATTTGGAATTTTATACCGAGAGTTGTTTTGTGGTCACTATGGAAGGCTAGGAATTTGGTGGTGTTTGAAAACTGGAAATTTGGCAGTTCTTCTCTGTTCTTCATTTCCAGATTTAGGCTGGCCAAATGGTTTTTAGCTAAATTCCCTCGTGCAAATATTCAAGTTGGTTTACTAGTAGGGGATCTAACGCTTGCAGACAAGATTTCTATTAAATCGCCTAAGAAGAAGAAGGATCACTGTTGGTTTCCACCTCCACATGATTTTTTTAAATTCAATGTGGATGGGGCGGTAAGAGGTGATGGTTTGCAAGGTGGAATTGGAGGAATTTTGAAAGATTCTAATGGGTCTACTTTAATCACTTTCTCTTCTGCTGTGGGCCCAGGTCCTCCTACATTCGTTGAGTTGAAAGCCATTAAAGAAGGCATTGATTTATTTCTTTCTTCTAAATAGGTAATGAAGGGAAGACTAATTTTAGAGAGTGATTGTAAAACAGCAGTTGACTGGATTTTGATGCCATTTTCTGCCCCTTCGTTTTTTTGTAATTTGGTTAGAGATATTGGGACATTAGTTTCTGCTAGGGAGATTATGGTTAGATTGATCCCTAGGAACTGTAATTGGGAGGCAGAAAAGCTAGCTAAGGAGGGGATTGGTTGAATGTTTAGAGATTTATTGTTGTTTTGTTCTGTATTTTATTTCGGGGTAGTTATGGTGTAAGTTGTAATCTTACGTAATTATGGTTTATTAATATATTGAGGTACTCTTTTCCTCCTTCCGCTAGTTGCCTCTTTACAAGAGCCAACTATGAGGGAGGTTTTTAATGAGGCATACTATTCCTATCAAAAAAAAATTTATTGATCAACATGTATGTGGGAAAAAGAGATATTTCTAGATAAAAATAAAGAATGTAACCATATTTGTTTGTTATAGAACGATACTTTTGTTAAAATCATTCTGCAATGTTGTATTTTGACTGAGAAGGAAAATGTTCTTGCACATTTTGGAAGTATGTGATTTTCTTTTTATGGGCTGTCTTGCTTTTTTTCTCTTTTCAGCCTCTGCATCACATCTAGGTTGGTTTTGTTTTAAATGAATGTAAATTATCTAGTTCATACACACATATGTATATGCACATCTCTCTCTCTCGCTCTCTCTCAATTTTTGTATCTACATACACACACGCATATAGAGAGAGAGAGTGGGGAGGGGGATGGGTAGGTTTTGATTGTTGATATTTGATATTGGAACTTGAGGTTTAAGTTCATTTTTCTTCAAATTTCTTCGAGTTTTTTTATTTTAAAATACCTGTTATGCATGCATATGCATTTCATTTTGCAGGCACTTCGCGCTGTTTCACACAATTATCCAGACTTAATGTTAGTATGTTGGGGACAACTTTCTGCCATTGTTTATAAATTTCTGAGAGAAGGTACAGCTGAAGTTGCATCAAAGTCCTGGAAGGATCAAGCTGGAAATACTACTGTGTTTGTAGGTGAAAAAATCGTTACAGCTTCTATAAAGGTGACGTTGCCAACTGGTTTCTTCTTATTTATTTATTATTAAATATGTTTGTAACCATAATCTTTGTGACCAATTGACATTTCAGATCAAATCCTTCTAAATTTACTCTATAGTTATTATTGTTTTTATTGTGGTTCCCTAGAATTTTGGTTCTGGAAACTCCAGAAACTCATTTGTGCACCAACGACATGGAAGGCCAGCAGATTGTTCTTTCCAGAGTTATTAGATGTATTAGATCTTAGGGAAGTTTCAGTAGTTGATATGATAGTTTGAGCTACCTATATGAGAGGCGAAGATGCCCTTCTCTATGGGATAGTTTGTCCAGTTTCCATTTCTGATTTTCCCTTTTCTCCCTTCTGATGTTAATTTATGATTTTATTCTTTAGGTTTTGGATGAATGCCTTCGTGCAATATCTGGTTTTAGAGGAACTGAGAATCTTTTAGATGAAGTTTTGTTGGATTCCCCATTTACTTCTGATTGCATAAGGACAAAGAAAGTATCGTCAGCCCCATCATATGGACCCCAGAGTCTGGAAGATGCTAAAGAAGAAAGAAATACATGTCCATCAGGAAGTCAGCAGTGGGCTGAGACAATTGAGAAGCTCATGCCTCTCATTCTATGGCATATGTCTGCAATGGTTGGTTAGATTCTTCTTTCCCCCTTTCTTCAGTTTTTGCAGATGACTGACATGTAGCAGATTAAGGCTTATTCATGAAGTGTTGGTTGACTCTCCTCTTCATCATCATCATTATTTTGTATTTGTTCTTCCATGTGCAAATAGAGGTGAATGCATGCGGAATTCTCTTTTCCTTATCTCTGTTCTTCTGGTTTTCCTCTGAATATCCAAGTCTGGGTTAGTTATGATATGGTGTAAATTATTTCCAACTTTGTGGCTATTTTTTAAGAGAAACTAAAATAGAGACATTTGACTATCAAATTCTTAACTGCCGACTCTTCTGGAAAAGTTTTAGAATTCTGATTTAATATGCATGGTCGTTGGTGCTGTATGTAAGACCAATGATTTAACTGGTGAAGTTTAACTGTTTATGTACAAGAAACTTGTTTGTGAGAGCTACATGTTCTAGGATTAATGCATTATTAAAATAAATATTATGCTACTGTCAGATAAATTTCGTATTTCTAATGATAGCTAACTGGTAAAGCCATCCTAATTGGGAATTCTGTATGGCCTCATTTATTGCCCTGCAGGCATAGTATAACTTATGGCTTCATTCCCTTCATTTTATTGCTTACCGTTATCTACTTGGTTGACAAATAGATGTTGACCCTCTGGAGAAGTTTTACTGTTTGCTGCAGTTTTTGGCGCTTACTATTTGTCCTAAGAATTCATTAGTGAGGAGTATCAAAGAATTTAACGGAATTGGGGTTTTTACTTTTGCATTGAGATTTTTTGCTTTTACATCGTGATTATATTATCTCATTCATCGAAGGTGGTAACTAGTAACTACACTTCTAACATGATTGAAACATTCTATTCTTACCTGTATATGACACTGAGCTGCTTTTCTCTGGAAGGTGAGATCTGCATCAGTAACTTGTTTTGCTGGAATCACTTCTTCTGTGTTCTTCACTCTCTCGAGGGAAAATCAGGATTTTATTGTTTCGTCTCTAGTAAGTCCTGATATAGTATTATTTTAAACTTGAATTTTTGTTCCTGTTCTCCTTTTGTGGAGATCTTACATAACGTTCATTTTCTTAAGATTTGTGTTTGGATAAATAAAAATGTAGATCAGTGCTGCTGAGCATGATAAGGTTCCTTCGGTTAGGTCTGCTGCTTGTCGAGCAATTGGTGTTGTTTCATGTTTCCAAAAAACTTCTGAGAGGTGATTATGCAATGCTAGGATATTATTTAATGAGTTGTATGTTCAAAAATCACAAACATAAAGTTTACAGAATGCCTAAACTATTTAGTGCAGAGATCCTTGGCAAGTTTATCCGTGCTGTTGAGGTTAACATTTGTGATCCTGTGGTCTCGGTAATTCTTATCTCATCTTGATTTAGACCTTAGAAGAGTGTTTATATATCTAGTATTCAGCATTCAAGCATCACTTATAAATACTTTTTGCAGGTGCGCATACCAGCCTCTTGGGCTTTGGCAAACATATGTGATTCTCTTCGTCACTTTGTTCATGATTTTCCTTTAAAACAATCAACAGGTAACTTTCTGGCTTGAGGGAAACATTTTTGAATTTGCTATATTTGAAACTAATGTTTCCGAGTATCTGATTACTTTTTCCTTGACAAAATTATAGATTCAGAAACAAACTTCCATTTAGTGGAGTTGTTAATTGAGTGTGCTCTGCGTCTAACCAGAGACGGGGACAAGGTATGATGTGTTTTTAGGCACCTTATAACCTTTTACTGGATTCAGTTACAACTTTTTGTGTTTGTCCTGGCAATACTTGAGCTTTTTAGTTTATATATTCTTTCACAATTGGGTAATTTATTTATGAATTTCTTCATCTGAAAAAGTGAGCGGAGACATTGGGAGGGGCATGGTTATCAATTTAGAAAATGTATAGGGTACTTTGACTGCACCTGCATATATCAGTTATGTGGATTTCTGTTGCTTTTACACCATCTCATAGTTTTATCTTATTCCATTTACGTGCTACTAGTTTGTTGCTAGCAAGAATGTGTTCTCATTAAACATAAATTCAGAAATTTTAGGCATATATGAATATTTGTTCCATATTGGTCCAAGAACGAATGAAATGCTGTCAGGATGTTTATATACCTTTTAGTTGATGGCAAACTGTGGAACTTGCTGATCTTTTATTTGTGTATATTTTTCTGTACTTGATCCTGGTTGCTTAGATGTTAGATTTTACTTCATTTTGGTAATTAAATTTTTATAATGTTACTTGGATTCCAATTTGAGTGCTGCATGCAACTATATATCCAATATGGGGTATGGTCAGTTTTCTAGGTCTTTCCATATGTTTAGAGGATCCTTGGAGGTCATATACTTGCACTAATGTTTTAAGCATAAGTTCCGGAAGCAGGTACTTAGAGAAAAATGAAGTCAGAACAACACAGTCGGTTGAAGTTCAGCCAAGTGATGGTTTTGTGAACTTTCATTTCTAGTAGTGTTGGGATGGTAGGAGGAATAGGTGGTATTCTTAGAGATTGGAACCGTTCTATACTATTGTCTTTTTCAGAAAATGTTGGTCCTAGCCTTCCCCCTATAGCAGAATTGAAAGGCATCGACATCTTTATCTCTTCAGAATGGATCTCGAAGGGTAGGCTGATTATTGAAAGTGATTGCAAGGCAGCAGTGGATTGGATTAAGTCTCCTTCGGTTCCTATTTTCTTTACAAATCTAGTAAAGGAAATTGAGTCTATTGTTTCAGATAAGGAGATTATTCTGAGGTTGGTCCCTAGGTGTTGTAATTGTGAGGCCGATAAACTAGCAAAAGAGGGGATTGGGTGATTGTAAGCTTTTTATTTAGTTGTTATGTGTTTTACAGAACAGTTGTATTAGGGGTTTGTTAAGTCTTATGTAACAGTTGTATTAGGGGATTGTTAAGTCTTATATAACCAGTTTATCATTAATATAATGAGGTACTCTTTTCTTCCTTCCGCTAGTTGGTTCTTTCCTTAGGGTAAAGGACTACTATGAGGGAGGTTTTTAATGAGGCCTCCTATTTCTATCCAAAAAAAAAAATTCTAGAAGAGAGATTGTAACTATCAGCTTTTTACATCAATTAGAAACTCTTTTAGCTTTTACTTATCTTTATGTTTCTTCCTATTAGGTCAAATCAAATGCTGTAAGAGCTCTAGGAAATCTTGCACGATTTGTCAGATATTCGAGTTCTCCATGTGTGGATAAAAAGCCAGTATCAAGCACAGGATATCCTTCTTGCGACCACGTTGCTATGTTTCCAGCAAGAAGTGAGCTGAATGCTTTTGATGGAGGTGGGATAACTTCGTCCTGCCCTGCATCATTGAAGGATTTTCACTGGCTAGAGAGAATGGTGCAAGCATTTATTTCTTGTGTTACAACTGGAAATGTCAAGGTATATCCTGTATTCTAATTTTTCTGTAAAACTTCGAATCTCAACATGTTACAAGCATAAAGTCATTTTTAATGTCAGTTTAGCTATCCACTGTTTCTTATTGTGACTTCACATTGACTAGGTTCAATGGAATGTCTGTCATGCGTTGAGCAATATGTTTCTGAATAAGACGATACAACTGCAGTATATGGATTGGTAAGACAATACAGCATTATATTAATAGGTTTAACTTTTCTGAATGATTCAACTTGTCTAACATACAAGATAAAATCTTATTTTCTATCATCAATTGTATATACGAACAACGAAAGAAGAATATTACAACAAATACTTCAAGTTAAGGAAATCCATAATATCTTGTTAAATTAATTCCTAATATTTTGTATATGACAACAATATGCATGTACACAATTCTGGCAGGGCTCCATCAGTTTTTGGTATTCTTCTGTTACTTCTACGTGATTCTTCGAATTTCAAGATAAGGATACAAGCTGCTGCTGCATTGGCTGTGCCAGAAACGGCACTTGGTGAGTTGTACTTATACCTTCAATCATTATATATGGCTAAACTTAAAGAAAGTAACTGGGAGTCTGATAATCATCTGCTTCTCCTGTTTACTCTTGGTCTTGAGAGTATCATATTGTTTGACAGGTTGACATAGCTTACTTTGTTTGACACAGATTATGGGAAATCTTTCCCAGACATTGCCCAGGGCCTGGAGCATGTAGTCGAGAATCTAGGTTCAGACTCTATTTCGGCGCCTTCAAGTTTCAAATATAGGATTGCGCTGGAGAAGCAGGTTATTCTATGCATATAATGAAGTCTTTTGAAATGATATAACATGGTTTAGGAATCTCGCACTCTCTCCATTTTTCAAGCAAGTACTTATTTCCTAAGCCAGGTCGAATCGCTCAATAATTCCTGTGAACCAGAAGTTTCATGACATTTTTAGAATAAATTCCTTAATTTGTTACTGATTATTTTCATAAAAAAGTTTCGGTAGTGTTCCAAGTTGATTAAGACAAGGCCATGCCTGACTGATCAATTGGGTTTTCTATTGCAGTTAACTTCAACCTTGTTGCATGTTCTTAGCCTTGCTTCCGCTTCTGATCACAAACCGCTGAAAGATTTTCTTGTCAAAGTAAGCTTTAAACAACCTTTTCTGACATTCACAACTGCCATGAATGAATTCAGTGCACCTTTATATGAAACTCATGTTTGACGTATAGGTTAGTGTGTTATAGATGATTTCTCGCTTTCGAAATAGAAACACTGCGTTTTGCATGGATTGAGAAATTTCTACAAGATATTAAGCGCTAAATCTGATGAGTATAGCTTTGTTAGATATTAACTATATAACCATTCTCTTCTTGGGTAATAGAAAGCTTCTTTTCTGGAGGACTGGTTTAAGACGCTATATTCTTCGCTGGGGGAGACGAGTGAGCAATCCGAGACTGTTGGATGTGATTCTGTGGGCAACCAAAAGAAAGAGATGATATCCAAAGCTGTACAGTCCATGATCGAAGTCTATCAAAGCACAAACCAACAATCGATTTGTCAGAAATTCAAGAAGCTGGTGGCACCATAATCTGTCATTTTAATTTTGCTTGGCTTGCTCTGGCTGATTTGGTAAGTTGGGTAATTCTCACCTTGGAGACTACTTTTACTCGATTTTACTCGATGTATCCGACATTCGCCCTTAGTATACCAGTTCATCGGATTGAAAAAACACCCTTTCCTTTCCAATGATTGATAGATCGGAGTGTGAGGAGAGTTTGGTGCAGATTTTCCAGCTGCTAGAAATTCAGTTTCGATTACATGGAACAAAGAGAGAAGGGGAAAGAGAGAAGGGGGGTGTTTTATAGTGTATAAATTATCATAGGTAGTATTGGTCGTATTCATAGCTGTATGATATGCAGGGGGGCTGCGATCACCCTAGTTTAATCTAATTGTCTTAGTGGTTAAAGTAACAATTATTATTCCTACAAGTCTCGAGTTCGATCACCAGTGACTGCAATAGAGATCATGTCAGAGCATATGTTACTTTGTAATCACCTTAATAAAAAAAATCTAATTGCGTGAACTAAAAACTAAAGTGTGCTTATATGTCCCTAACTTGGTTGTGCATATTGAACGCAACACAGTAAATGCAATGGCCAACTATTTGCATTTTGATGTAGCGTCACTAGAAACAGTGAGTAAAATTCGACTTAAAAAATCGATTTTTTTTATTCGACTTGAAGTGACATCGAATTGTAATTTCATAAACTTGATTAAAAAAATCAAATTCAAGTGAAGTTATAAATATAACTTGAATAACTTAAAATTTTCAGCAATTAGTTGATTGTTTTTTTGTACGATTTATGTCTCATATTAAAAAAATGAATATATATGTACAGTATATGATTATAAAAAATTATTTAGATTGAAATTAAATAATATTATAATATTATAAATATTTACAATTAACATAAATTTAAAAGTTGGATTCGAATTTTATAGATTCGACTTGAAAAAAAATTTAAGTTTGAGTTATAAAATAAGATTGATCAATTCGAATAGCTCAAAAATTTTTAACTTGACTAGATCAAATGTTAGCAATATGATCTTAGAAAAAATAAACATGTTTTGAGGGACGTGGAAATATAAATATTGGAATCTTTAGGACTATAGTTAGAAGAATAGTACAAATATACGATATCTTATATATCGTAATATTTGGTATATATATATATATATATCAAAATCCGGTGTATCTCAAAATACTATCTCAATTTTTTACGTAGCATAAACCTAAAGGTTATTGAAACTACAAGGTATTACATCTCTTTAAACTAATTATCTCTCGTATTTTTAAAGGCCAAGATATATTTTTTATTTGTATTAAAAACACTTTGTCAATGAAATTTCATATTCCATAAAAATTCAAAACAAAATAAACACAATAATCTTCAACAAGTAGAATTACCATAAATTCTAATTTTATTTTTAGTTAAAATTTGAGGTAATATCTGATATTAACGGTAGTCTTGGCTTTTAAGTGTATATTTCAATAACATTAGGGTATGTTTAGTTCACGGAATGTAAGATTATCAGTGGGAATGTAAGATTACCTGGGAATAGGATTACTGGGAATGTTGTATTTTATGTTTGGTTAGTTTAGCAGGAATGTAAGATTACCGTATTTGGTTAAAGGAATAAAAGATTATTGGAATGTATATTTGACCAAATTATCCTTATTATATATTTGTTTTTTTAACAAGTTGGAAAATATTTATATATTTTCTTTAAAAAATTTAAATTCATAAAATTTATATAATTTTTTTACAAAATTGAAAATATAAAAAGGTTTAATGAAAGGGTAAAATTTTATTTTAACCCCTGAACTTCATATAAAATTTTAATTATAGATTTTTTTGTAAATCTAAAATAGTTTAAGGATAAATTTATAATTTAACCTTCGTAGAATTTTTATTATTCAATAACAGAAGAAGGATATTTTTTAAAAAAAAATTAAGGGTATTTTAGTCCAAAACGTCGGTAATCCAACAATACCTAAGGAAAGGGAGGTAATGACATTCCCGATAATATACCCCAAAAAATCCACTATTGGTAATCTTACATTACCGGGAATGAGATTCCCAGGCTAATCAAACGGGGGGAATGTGGATTTCATTCCCATGAGAATCTCACATTCCTCCATCCAAACACTCTCTTAGTACCACGACAATTGGAAAATTAGAAGTTAGAAGTCAACTATAATTTCCCCTAAAAGTTGGGTTAAAAATCATCTAAAATCATTATCTTTTGTTAGACCCTAAAAGAGTATTTATGGTTGTTAATGATAATATTCGGGTTGTGACGGTTTTAAACATTTTATCTCTTTTAAATTGGATGAAGAATTATAACGGGTGGTTTACGATTGAATTACAAACAATTAATGCCGTTTGATTTTAAACATCTGCAGAGTATGAAAGAGAGAGCTCGAGAAAAAGAAACCTCCCTTTCAGTGTTAGCGTCAAATTTAAGACAATGATAATTATTCAGAGGCTGGTGGGATGGATTGATCATGTTGTCCATTAACATATTTGACTCTGATAAATTATGTGAATTTATCAAAGGTCATGTCATGAGATTGTAACCCTCCGGAGGATGCGAGACTCCAAGAAGTCTAGAGGAATGATTTAATCAAAGGGTTGTGAATCTCTAGAGGACATGATCTCCGAAAGCTTAAGGAGTTATAGAATTTTAATCAATCATTTCGCTTTGTTAATATTGATCGTTAATTTCTTAATAGTGTGGCTAATGAATCTCATAATAATTGTACATGTTTACGTGGAGTGTGTATTTAATTATTATGTTTAATGTTAAAAGTTTATTTTAAGTACAAGATTTCATTGCGTGCAAAGTATAAAAATTAGTATAAAATCGATTTTAAATATTTTTTTAAAAATAAAATCATTAAAATTTATATAAAATTTATATAAAATTTATATGAAAATTTGTAAATATATATATATATTATATATGAAATTAGAGAAATGTTAGAAAAATATAACATTAAAAAATGTAAAAAAAATAGTAGAGAAAAATTAAATAAATCAAAAGTATAAAAATTTTAATGAGGTTCAGGAGGTTTTTTTAACGAGGTCTATGTTCTTGTTTTGTTTTGAATGTGTGATAAAAAACATACAAAACCTCTTTTAAAAAAAAGTTAGGGGATTAACTTCAAGGAGAATGAACATTTTCATGAAACAAACCAAATTTACCCAATTTTATCGAGTTAATTACATCATATGTCTTTCAATTATGATCCTCGTTTTAAATTGGTTCCTAAAAACATTCTAATTTCATCATTAAATTAGGAATATCATTCTAAATTAACCTCAAACTTTTGAACATTTCATTTTTCATCCCCAAACTATGATCTTCATTCTAAGTTGGTCCCCAAACTTTTTAAACATTTCAATTTCATCCCAAAAGTATATGTATATACTAGGGATGGCCACTCAACCCAAACCCGACCGGGTCGGATTTTTTTTAAAAAAATCGGGTTTGAGTCAGGGTTTTTAAGTGTGATATTCGGGTCGGGTCGGGTCGGGTTCGGTTTTAGGGTGAAAAATACCAGACCCGACCCAAAAAAAATATAATTTTAACTTATATATTTAGGAATAATTACAATAATACCCCTCTATATAATTTTTTTCAATTAAGTCATTGTTTTTATTGAATAAAAATAATTTTTTTATTATTTCGGGTCGGGTCGGGTCGGGTGAGACATTGTTTTGGTCGGGTCGAGTCTAGGGTGGAGGTTCCCTTGTTCTCGGGTCGGGTTGGGTCGGGGGTTGGGTGGACTAAAAACCCGACCCAACCCGACCCATGGCCATCCCTAGTATATACTAATCACATCCCTTGTTAATAAAACCGTTAGGCCAAGTTATATTATTAAATGCTTTAAAAATAAACTTTAGATTAAACTATTGTTGAAACGAATTACATATTTAAATAAATTTAGGGATGAAATTGAAAATTTTAAAAGTTTAGGGACTAATTTAGAATGAGATCCGTAGTTTAGAGATAAAATTGAAATGCTTAAAAGTTTAAGGAATGATTTAAAATTAGTCATCATTTTGGGATGAAATTAAAATTTTAAAATTTTAAGAACCAATTTAAAATAAGAGTTATAGTTTGGAGATATATAATACAATTAACTCAATTTTATCGACGGTACATTTGAAAATACCATTGACATCATTTGATTTACTAATCATTATCCCATGAGTAATCCCAAGTTTGATATATACAATACTAATACACTAACTAAAGAATTATCAAGGAAAGACTAATTTTTATACAATTATACATATTTGGCTAAACTACAAGTTTAGTATCTAGAACTATCACTTTCATTCTATTTAGGTCATTCAATTATTCTTTTTCATAATCATATCAAATCTTACGTTTTTGTTTCATTTTGGTTGTTCACCGTTAAAAAATTAACGATGATGTTGATGTGTCAACATAAAGTAATGTTATTGCCCATCATTGATTTTTTTTAAATATCACGTTAGTAGTTCTGTAAATTTTTTATCGTCGGGTGACCAAAATGAAACATAACATTAGTTACGACTTTTAACAAATAAAAGTTGGGTGACCAGTACAAAACAAGAACAATAATTGAAATACTAAACATGTAGTTTATCATATATATTTTTGTCATGATTTAGTACTATGAGTGGGATGATTGACCTTGTTGCTTCTCGATAAGTTTGAGATAGTTTAAGGGACGACAATCTGATTTAAGGTTAGAAACAATCGGGAATGGACACAAACCGAAAATGTTATAAAAAAACATAATATTTTTCTGTTGGACGCAACTTAAAATATTAATTTTCTTCTTAATATTTTCAGTTCAACTAAAAATGTTACATTCTGCATAACATTTTTGATTTAATCGAAAATGATTAAAAAAATAACATTTTAGGCAGTGGTGGATTTTTATTTTTTATTCGTAACACGTTGAACTAAATTTAACCATTATTTCAAAACTATGGGATGCAATTTGCACCTACGAAGGCTTAACTGATTGTAGATTACGCTCAATAAAAAATATTATATTTTGTTAATCATATTTTCGGTTACATTTATTCCCCATTTCGAATAAGTTTGGATATACCAAAACAGAAAGGTTTGAAGGCAGAGAAATGAGGCTGATCACTCTCCTAAGAATTCTCAACTTCTTTCCTGCATACCCTTGTGTGTCCTTTGTTTAGAGACCAAATCCACCCTCTTTTACCCCAATTCTCTCCCTTGTGTCCTTAAATTCATTCCAAGTGGCATTGTTACGTAAATACTACATGTTAAGTACCAACATCCCTTCCTTCTTCCTCAAACTATAACACCGCTCACCTACTGCTGTAATGGCGGAGATCTCATGCTTTCCTCTTTCATCCTACTCTATCAGTTTACGAAGTTCCATCTACCCTTCTTAGATACCCTTCATTTCTGGTGTTCCACTAATTCATCTTCTTCAGGTACTTTCATCTTGTTTTATCATTGTGCTGGTATGTTTTTCACCTATGTTGCTCGGGTACGGTAACCCAAGGCCGTTTCAAGTACCTAATACGTCTTCGAGATAAATGTAGGACAGGTATAGTTTAGATATGTATTAGGGACTTCCCATGTTAAAGAGGTAAAGGTGTATTAGTCAGGTAGGTCGGAGAGGTTTTCAGGATGTAACCGGGGCGACGCTTGATCTTTATAATGTACGTTTGATACCTAAAGTATCGCTTTTGTTCTGTTTTAGTATTTAAACTTTACTTTTTTTCAAAATCATACCAAACATTTAGGGCCTGTTTGTTTCACTGAAAACATTTTCAATGTTTTCCGTAAAATAGATTACATCTTCTGGAAAATATTTTACGGTGTTTGGAAGATGTTGTGTACACCATTTTTCACTAGTTGATAAATTTTTTAGAAATTATTTATTGAAAATATAAAATATAATAAATAATATTTATTTATTATAAAAACTTAATATTATTATTTTAAAAATATTAGAATAATTTATTTAACACTATTTATGCCAATATTATTATTAAAATATTATTTCTATAATTTTATAAATAAAAATATTAACTCTAGTATATTCTATTAAAATAAAAATATAATAAATTATATTGAATATCTATAAAAATAGAAATACTATATTATATTTTAAAATTATTAATAAACTTGTTTTAAGGAATTTTTATAATAATATTAGACTATTATATTAATATTAAATACATAAATAAAAGTATTAATAATTTAATAATATTATTTTTAAGAAATTAAGAAATAATATAAATTTTATTAATAATTTATTATATATTATTAAAATAAGAATATAATAGTATCATATATTATTATAATATAATTGAGTATATTATTGTAAAAATATTATTATTATATTATATTATATTATTAAAAATATTAATAAATATATTTCAAATATGTTAATAATTAATATTTTTATTAAAATGATACTAAAATATCATATTAATATTAAATTTTTAAAATAATATTATTTTGAGTATTTATACTTTGAAGTGAAAAGTTTGGAAAATGACTTACGGAAAATTAAACCGTAAGTCATTTTCCAAAAAAATACAAAGGAAATTCTATTGACCGGGAAAATGTTTTACATTGACCAATCTATTTTCTTCCAACCAAACACTAAAATGTGAGGAAAACGTTTTCCGAAAAATATTTTACGTGAAACAAATGGACCCAAAGGGTTTATATCGATTGACTTACGATGAATTTTCGGACAAGGTCCAAATATTTCCGGGTTTATATGTCTTCTTAAGTTATTTGTTTACCACATCTAAAATTGCCTCAACCAAATATAAGAACTCAAGATATATTTGTTTTATGGAAGATGGTACACACATAAAGTTAGATACAAATTTAATACGTAATTTTATATTAATTATGAATTTAAAATTTATTTATATTTACATATCCTTACTATACTCCCACTATATAATTTTAAAATTTATCGTTTCATGTCTCGTGTTCGTTCCGTATCTGTATCAGTACAACATAATTTTTTACCGTGTTTCGATTCGAATCTTTCACCTCATCATCTTTTGCTATGTTCTTAGATTCTGATGCCATAAACTGGGAAAATCGTAATGGCCAGAGAGTATCATCAGCTAGAAGCAAGGAGGAGGCGTCTCACATGGATTCTTGGGGTTAGTGCCCTCTGTATTTTGTTTTACGTGTTGGGAGCTTGGCAGGCCTCTCCTAATACTCCATACGATTTGTACGCTAAAATTGGTTGCGATAATAACACCGGTGCATCGGACACCGTCGACAATGCTAAGTCGACGAAGTTGGACTTCGCTAGCCATCATCAGGTCGCTCTCGATAGTTCTAAGACAGTTACTCGATTCCCGCCGTGTGATATGAAGTACAGCGAGTACACTCCTTGCCAGGATAAGGTGAGGGGACGGAGATTCGATCGCGACATGATGAAGTATCGAGAGCGGCATTGTCCCGCCAAGGAAGAGCTTCTGCTCTGCCTTATACCAGCTCCGCCGAATTATAAGACCCCTTTCAAATGGCCTCAGAGCCGTGATTATGCCTGGTACGACAATATCCCTCATAGAGAACTCAGCGTTGAGAAGGCGGTCCAGAATTGGATTCAAGTCGAGGGTAATAGGTTCAGATTCCCTGGTGGAGGCACCATGTTCCCTCTCGGAGCCGATGTGTACATTGACGACATCGCCAAGCTCATTCCCCTTACTAATGGACACATCAGGACAGCAGTTGATACTGGCTGTGGGGTAAGTACTGTTGGCCTATGTTAATAACTTGTACATGAACTGTGTACTAATTGCCTTTGCTGATGCTTTTAGGTTGCAAGTTTTGGTGCTTACCTGTTGAAGAGGGATATCTTGACAATATCATTTGCTCCGAGAGATACACACGAAGCACAGGTCCAGTTCGCGCTGGAGCGCGGAGTTCCTGCGATGATCGGAATCATGGGATCGCAGAGGCTTCCTTACCCGGCAAGGGCTTTCGACTTGGCTCATTGTTCTCGTTGTTTGATCCCTTGGTCAAAGAATGGTAAGGCATCTCAAACAAGGAAGCTCTTTCCTGTTCTGTTTATATAAGCTAATGGTTTCGTTTAATTGGGGATAGACGGTTTGTATCTCACCGAAGTGGATCGAGTTCTAAGGCCGGGAGGTTACTGGGTGCTCTCCGGTCCTCCTATCCGCTGGAAGACGTATTGGAGAGGATGGGAAAGGACAATGGAGGACTTAAAACAAGAGCAAGACGGTATCGAAGACGTCGCCAAACGCCTATGCTGGAAGAAAGTGACCGAACACAACGATCTCGCAATTTGGCAAAAGCCTATCAACCACATTGAGTGTGTTAAAAACAAGAAGGCCCATGGAACACCGGTCATGTGTGCATCACAGGATCCAGATTCAGCTTGGTATTCTCTTTAGTCTTTAGCCCTTTGATACACATAAACATAAAGGCGTAAAGCCCTTTTGTGTCTCATTTTCATTGTCATTTGTGATTAAAAAAAAGGTACAGAAATTTGGAAGCTTGCATAACCCCACTTCCGGAAGTAACAAGTCCAAATGATGTTGCCGGTGGCAAACTACCGAAATGGCCGGACCGTGCATTTGCCGTCCCTCCTAGAATTGGCCGTGGATTAGTACCAGGCATCGGTGCCGATCGATTCGTAGAGGACAACGACCTGTGGAAGCAAAAGATAGCACATTACAATCGAATCGTTACTCCGCTACGCTCCGGACGATATCGGAACATCATGGACATGAATGCATACCTAGGTGGATTTGCAGCAGCAGTGTCAAAGTATCCAGTGTGGGTCATGAACGTCGTCCCATCGGATTTGGACCCCGACACGTTGGGAATCATTTACGAACGTGGTCTAATCGGAACGTACCAGGATTGGTGCGAGGGATTCTCGACATATCCGAGAACATACGATCTCATCCATGCGAGTGGCGTGTTTACTATGTATCAAGACAGGTAAAACCTTTTGTTTTTTCTTCTGACAGTTGATGAACTATGTTCCATGTGTGATAAAAGTTGTGTTGACATGGTGATTGAAGGTGTGACATCACTTACATCTTGTTGGAGATGGATCGAATTCTGCGTCCCGAAGGGTCGGTTATATTCCGGGACACGGTGGAGGTGCTGGTGAAGATAAAGAGCATAACAGATGGGATGAGGTGGAAGAGTCAGATCGTGGACCATGAAAGCGGACCCTTCAATCCTGAGAAAATTCTTGTTGCTGTTAAAACATACTGGACTGGTGAAGCAACACAAGCAACCTAGTAAGGGATTTAAATGGCAGTCCGCTGTGGGGTAGTGACCGTTATATAGTGGTAAAGATGCTGTCTGAAACTGTTATCGTATTACGATCGTGATATCTACAATAACCGCAATAATACTTGCTATTAACGCAATCATGATAAACGTAACGCAGCAAAAAATACGACTATAATCGTAATTTAAATTTCTGACGCTTTTGGATGTTTATCATTCATACTTGACAGTTTCTTTCTCTTTTCTTTGCATTTCATGTCTCATTTTCCACCTTGGGAAAATAGTCTCAACTCAGAGGTTTCATTTTTAAAATGTAAATGTATTCCATTTTCTTCATCTCTCTATTATTCTCATCGCTGGATTAGCTAAACAAACTCCATAAGTGACAGGTGCTGAATATATATATATATATATATATATAAATTCAGTTACACAATAAAAAACTGATATAATATCGTTAGATGAATAAAAATAGACTATTAAAATTATCTTCTTATTTTTTTAATTAAATATTATTAATTTTCTATTATTAATTTTTTAATTTTATTTTGTGAAATTGGTATATATAAAATAAGATCTACTTATTCATTATAAAAAAATTAAAAAGGTTTTCACAAACTTCATATCACTAAATAAATTATTCACTTTTTTGTAAATATCTCATTTTAATTTTTAATTTCATTCATCATTTTACATTCATCTATTGATCTTAAATCCATTTAAGATTTTAAAAAATTATAATGATTAATTGGGTCCTCTCTCTTTCTCTCTAGGTGATTCAACGAGTGACCTCAAGTATATATTCTAAATACTCTCAACCATTTGACAATGAACGCTCAATCACTCTGCTACAGCCGTTGGTGCTCGAACCCGTGATCTCTAAGAACAACAACAATTCCTTAAACCACTAAGGTAAATTGGATCGTGCTTATCAAAATATTTATAAAATCACTAAACCATTTTTATTTTATTTATAAGGAAACTCATATAATTTTCCCTTGAGCAAAATCTTTTGGATTATACCTAAATAAGCTTTTATCTAAAAGGAAATGGTGATTTATGTTTTTGGTATATTTTGTTATGAATGGAAGATTTTTTTTTTCCTTAAGAAAATATAAATTAATGGGATCAAAAATGAAATATTAATAGTTTGCTTGCTGATGTAAATTATTTATTTTAGGTACAAATCTTAAATTTAAACATCAATTTTCGACCAAATATATATTATGTTATATTATATATATATTTTTATTCCGTATAATTATACACATAAATTTCTAATTTAATTATATATATTTAAAAAAATATGGGTAAAGTACACCAATGGTCCCTGACTGGTGGGTACTACTTTATTAGGTCCCTTGACTATAGGGTATTATTTTATTAAGTCCCTCGACTATTAAAAGTTACAAAATGATCTTCCGATTAAGAGTGTTGTTTTGTCGAATCCCTCAACTCTTAAAAGTTATAAAATGATCACTCAAGTATTCATTAGGTTCTAAACTCGTCATTTTTCGTTAAAAAATTAACGATATTCTAAACTGAACGTTAACCTGATGATTATAATATGATTAAACATGATCCTAGAATCTCAAACTACTATGATATTTAGCCATCATGTTAACGCTCATCTTAGACATACACCAATTTTTTAATGAAAAATGACAAGTTTTGAACATAATAAATAATAGAGTGACCGTTTTATAACTTTTAATAGTCAAGGGACCCAACAAAACAACATTCTATAGTCGGAGGGTTATTTTATAACTTTTAATAGTTAAAAGGAATTAATAAAATAGTATCCTATAGTCGGGGGACCATTTGTGTTCTTTACCCAAAAAATAAACATGGTTATTTATTTTCACATAAAAGTAAATAAATTATCTAAAATTTTGATAATGATAATAATTTTATTTCCATGAAAGTTTAAGAATTTAATGCAATGCAATGAATATGTACATAATTATTTAAGTAAAGCTATTAAGTGTTGGATTAGTTTAGCTATTTGGGACTTTCCATTTGAACTTTAATGCTATTAAACACAAACAATTATATACATTAATTACATTACATTCCTAAACAAGGGAATCTTCTTCAACCTTTGGACTTGGAATTGGAGCTGTTGGCGAATGGCATCCCACTATGAAAGTTTTCCATTTCAATCAAATTTTAAAAATTTAATTTATTAACAACACACATTCTGCGTACGTAATTGTTCGAATTCAAAATCTCTAGGAAGAATAAGATTCTCTGTGAACCTATCATAGTGAGTCAAACACGATCTAACACGAATTATTTTTCATCCCAACATGTATCACCTTGAATTTTTTTAATTAGAAAATCATACTCCAAAGGGCTTGTTTACTACTTATTTATGGAAAAATGAAACGGTTTGGCTTTCCATCTCATCCCAATGGTTACATCTTTTAGCCTTTGACTATTGACAAGATCCAAGGTTTCATAATCCGTCTTCTTATTGCCACCACCAAACCAAATGCCTCTTCACTGATCCGCCGACACCGCCTTTGAAAACAACCCCAAACCGGTATTTATTTTCTCATCACTGTTTCTCTTGTCCTGTCGTCTGCAATGGTGTCGTCGTGGCTCAGATGCTTCAAACTCGGCTGCCGTAAATCAACGTCAACCGTTGGACCCGATCGGAACAAGGGGAAAGACGGCGTTGCTGAAGGTGAAGGATTTATCAGGAAATTCAGATGGGAAGAGATTGAGGTTGTCACGAATGATTTCTCCCGTGTGATCGGTCGTGGAGGTTTTAGCAATGTCTACTTGGCTAACCTGTCTGGTTCACAGGGAGCAGTCAAGATCCATGCCGGAAGTTATCGACTCAATCAAGTGTTCAGACAAGAACTCGACATCTTGCTCCGTCTCCGACACGACAACATCGTCAAGCTTCTCGGTTACTGCGATGATCTCGGTACGTTACGTCCAGGGATAGACATAAAATCTTGAGTACCTCTGGTTACGTAACTCGTTTAAGTGTTTTACTTGTTTTTTTATTTATTTATTGAAATTTGATTAGTTTGTGTGTCCAGATGAAGGTGCCATGGTGTTCGAGTACGTTCCGAATGGGAACCTACAAGAGAAACTACACGATAGCGAACTACTTCCCTGGAAAACCCGAATCGCCATAGCATTCCAACTAGCACAAGCCGTAGAATACCTACACGAAAAATGCAGCCTCCAAATAGTCCACGGCGACATCAAACCATCAAACGTGTTGCTCGACGAGTGTTTCAATTGCAAGCTGTGCGATTTTGGGTCGGCGAAGATGGGATTCTCGTCGACGGTGAAGCCGCCGTCGTGTTCGAAGCAAGTGATGGTGGGATCACCGGGGTACACCGATCCTCACTACCTGAGGACAGGGTTGGCCTCCAAGAAGAACGATGTGTACAGCTTGGGTGTGATAATGTTGGAGCTGGTGACGGGAATGAAGGCCTTTTGTCCGGTGAGGGAACAGCTATTGACTTCGATTGTGGCACCATGTTTAAGGGACATAGACGAACATGGGGCGGCGGAGAAAGTGGCGGCATTGGTGGATCCACGCCTGTGCGGGGAGTTTGACTTGGAAGAAGCCAGGGCTTTGCTTTTGATTGCTGCACTTTGCCTTCACCAGTCCCTCACCGTTAGGCCATCTGCCTCTCAAATCATTAAAAATATTAAGGAGAAAATCAATTCCATGGATTTGCAAGGCAAAGATTCTTTGCCCATAGCAACTATATAATGGTGATTAATGTGGACATTTAGCACATGTAATTAAATATTCAGGAGAGTACGCATTGCACACATGAATTGGATTTTGATTATTTAATTTATATTCATATCTTGTTTAAAATTTAATGATCAAAATAATATTTTATTTAAGGCTTAATATACTTTTAAATTTCTATACTATATCTCAAAATGTGATTTGATGTGTAAAATTAATTTTGTTAATAATAGATGTTTAACATTTTCTTCGTTACCAGTTTAGATGTCTGGACATTAACCGCCGTTTAAAAACTCTGTTAAGTGATTCGTACTACGTTCTGATATTTTTTTAAAATAAAATATTCTTTATTAAAAAAATAGTCCATGTGTTCTCCCCTACCTCTCTCCCTCCCCGTGTTCTCCCTTTCCCCCAATCCCCTGCAACCTTCTCAAACAGTCGCTATCTGCCACAGTCGGTTGCCATGGCCGACTACCACAACCGACCAAACGACAAATGGTCGACCGTCATATCCGATCAAACGATCGATTATCAAAATTGATCTAAGGAATTTTTAGGAATTTGAATGTTTAAAACGAAATCTTTTATTTACACGATTGTTGGTTGTTCGGCTCGTTGCGAAAGTACAAGGGTTTTGGTCGTTGGTGGTTGGTCAATAACAAGTCTTTGTTTTCGGCCAATTGATGGCGTTGATGGCAACTGGAGGTGGTAAAGATAATAAAATTAATATTATATTTAATTTTTTAAATATATTTTATTTTAAATAAAAATTCTCAAAAATATCAGGATGTGACATGTGTCACTTAACGAAATTTTTTAATGGCAGTTACGGCTCGGGCACCTGAAATGATAATAGAGAAAACCATTAGACACCTATTTTAATAAAAAAAAATTCTTTAGACATCAAATCATATTTTGAAAGTATAATTTAGTGCACTTAAAAATGTATTAAGCCTTTATTTAAAGTCCTGGCTCATAATAGTATTGTATTTAAAGTTTAAGGGTCGATTTAAAAATGAACTCTTTTTGACTAACAATGCTATGTGACCCATGTCATCAAACTTATTAACGATTCAATGATCAAAATGTAGCAATTAATAACATAAGTGATTGAAACTTAATTTTTTAAAATTTGATGAGTAAAAATTTATAAATCTAAAAAGAAAATAATCAATTCAGTAGTTTATCTTGTTTATATTAATGTGTTATTAAAAGTTAATACTATTAAAACATAAATTAATAAATAAAATTGAAGTTTAAATCAGTGATGGGTCCAAAAATTAAAAAGTAAGTGGCCAAAATTTTAATATTTTCTTTTTAGAAAAATAATTTGCAAAATATTTTATTTTTTCTCATCTCTTTATTATACAAAAACTAAATTTAATAATTTTCTAAAAATAATGGGTATACAATTACAAAAACTAAATTTAATAATTTTCTAAAAATAATGGGTATACAATTACTGTCCTCCGCTTCGACGTATATCCGTCCCTAGTTTGAATATCAACTTAAAAAAAATAATTCTCAATATAAATATATTAAATATCTAGTTTTCTTTAATGATACAAGTACACTTTACTTTTTTGGAAGTGCAATTTGGTAGCTTATTTAATTTTTTAATTAGGTATTTTTCAAATTTAAAAATATCCAAACTTAAAATTTTATCTCCTAGATTTTAAATCTAGGGTAAACTACACGTTTTGAACCCCCAACTATTACTTTTAGCCATCCAACTATTTTTTATTTCAAAAAATACCTACCGTTATGTTTTGATTTCATTTTAACCGCTCACCGTTAAAAAGTTAACGATGATGCTAACGTGTCACCATAAAATAATGTCACATCATCATTGATTTTTTTAAAATGACACGTCAACAATCCTATTACTTTTTTAACTGCGGGTGACCAAAATAAAACTAAAACGTGACATAAGGTATGATTTTGAAAAAAAAATTATAGTTGAATGACCAAACAAAACAAAAGTAATAATTGGAGTACTATACATGTGATTTACCCTTAAATCTATAACACATATTATCCATATAACTAAAATACTTTAAAATTGTAAGTATGAAGAAATCATAGCTGAACATGTTTAATTAGAAAAGTTAGATACCAAATTGCATAAAAAATAAATACCTAATTAAACCAAATAAAATACTGTGTACCACATTACACATACATACGAAAATTAAGTACAAAAACGTATAATTACCATGTACTTAATTGATTGAATAAGAAGCCCAGCCCCAATTGGAAAGGGCTTGATGACCTTGAAGCATAATCAAGAAAGTTTAAAAATCTGGTTTTACTTTGGCTTGATGACCTGAATTTAATTTGCTATAATAATAAATAAATTTTAATTTTAATTTTAATTTAATTTGAGTTTAAAATATTTTTATTTGATCTGAAATAAATATAAAAATTTAATTAATTTGATTTAATCTTTGAATTGATCTGATTTAATATAATTTTTAAATATTCATTTATTTTTTAAATTAGAAAAAAGAATGAATAAAATATTAATATATTTAATTTAATAATATTAAATTAAATTAAATTTTAATTTTAATTTCATATTATAAATTTTGTTACTTTATATTTTATTGTTTATTTTTTAAAATTAACAATTTAAATCTAATTAATAATATATTAATATATCAAAAAATATTTCTGTAACTATTCTAGAATTTCATTAAAAGAATCACGATCCTATCAAATCATATTAGGTCAAGATTTTTCTGCTACAACTTTTTTATCATCCCTAGACAAGATGTTGTTAACTAATTCAAGCGCTAACAACTGTTGTTAAGGAGAGATATGAGTCTCGGACCTGATAAGTTTCAATTATATCTAATCATATAAGGTCACATTTTTTAAGTTTCTTTGGAGGTTTGAATTTAGAATAAAAAAAATCTTTGACTTGACTCGAGATTATAGTATAATTATATTGTGTGTCGACTAAAATCTTGATTTGAACTGACTCGATTTAGTTCGATACATACATATCCATAATTGTTATGGCTCATAGGAATGAACGTCCAAAACATGCCATCCTGAAATCATAAAAAATGGAATTAAAATAAGCAAACAACTGATGGGCATTTGTTTGACATAGCCAAAATCCTACCCCATGTCTCATTCATGGTTCGATTATACAAAATCCATTAGTGGCTATGTCTCTCTCAACCGAGCTTGTCACAATTATTCATATTTGTGTGGTTGTGAGCTTGAAGTTGCTTCCTTTATCAACCTTTTTGACTTTGGTTTTGGCCTACTTATGGTACCTACTTATGGTTCAATTGTTCTATTACTGAACTAGGAGTCTCACGCTTCCCTTAATCCTCTACTGAGGGCCTCGCCATGAGTACACCTGATAACTTCGTAAAAAGACTACATTTTGGGTCTTTTTACTAAAGTTATTGATTATCTAAAACCCATTGTCATAACATTTTAGTTGCATATAGTTGTATTTTGGACATTTATTGCATATGGTGGAAAAGTTTTACTGCTACAATTTTTATTTGATAAAACTGATGCTGCTGATGAGAAGGGTTGGCTGTTGGCTGTAATCGTGTAAGAGATGGAAAATGACCGATGAGAGAATTATTTGCCATGACAATTTTAAAGTGAGGGCCAAAGGAATTGATAATGATATCTGTGAGGAATTTTTCGCCGTGACAAGTTTTTTTTGCAAGTTTGAATGTAGTACAAGACAAAGTAGCTGACGTCGCGTGACCAGCTGTCCAAGGAACCTCACGTGAATTCCCTGCCCTTACTGATATTTTGGGACCACCTCCTGCTGTCTTAAAATCACATCTTGGGCTTGATTACAAGAATAAATGAGGGAATTTCAAGGGCATAAAACCCAATAAATTCCCACTATAAATAGAAAATGATGCCTACATTTTTAGGGATCCCTACAATTTCCATATTTTGAGCTTTTAAAGGCAACAACACCATTTTTCTTTATCTTCTTCCTTCTTCATTTTTCTTGGTAACCTCCATAGATGAGCTTCGTCAGGGTAGCAACTAGACCCTCGAGAGAAGCTAGCATGCTAGAGCAGTCATGGTGGTGGTATATACGTCAAGGCAACAACCCCATTTTGGGAGTTTCCTTCTCCTTTGCTTTCCATTTTCTTATATTTGTTGAGCTTGTTTTTAAGGATTATCTTGTTTGAACTTAGCCACACCATGAACTAATCTATTTGGTGTTGGATTTGTTATGATTGATATTTTATTTCATGTTAATGGATGATTTTTAGTATGTTTATGTTTAATGTTGTTTTGTTCACTATTTTAACTTTATATTGTGACAATGTAAGAGCTTTTAAGAGATTATCATTTGCCATAGCCTAACATGCTTAGTCATTGTAAGAGCTTTCGAGAGATAGTCATTTTCTAAATATTGATACCTAATATCAATAGAGTTAGGTTAGATCTACATGAACAAAGGAACTAATCCGGGATGATGAGGTTATAATCTGCCTTAGATATAAGGAGAGGGTTTTAATTAAGTAAAAGGGATAGTACTCAATTGATACGCTAGGGTCACAGTTTACGCTGAGAGGTATTGTCGTGGCAATAGTTTTATCAGGTTGCTTACTAGAGATAGCCTAGGACCACTTCTAGTAAATCCTGTTGGGCAGCATAGACATAGTGTACTTAGATCATCCTAGGCATAGAATAATTTCTCGCCGTAGTAAATTCAACCAATTACTTCTTTAGAAGCTTTATTGTGTGAGGTTGTCAGTCTATTTCCAACGTTCAGAATTTTTTTTTTTGCTTTAGCTACTTTTATTTACTTACTCTTGCAATTAATATTTGCCTTAGCAACGTTTATTTGTTTACTCTTTCATATTTTTCTTGCCACGACAAAAATTATCTGCTCACTTCACACATTTCTTGCCTTAGCAAACTTTTTCCATTTGTTCATACCATATGTCGTAGCACATTTAACATTTGTTTATATAGACTTAGAAACTTAGGATTAGTTAGTGAAACCTATTCCTAGCTGTAGCACTCTTTTAAAAGCTCTCAAATCCCTATAGAGACGATACTCACTCACTATTATATTACTTGTATGTGTATACTTGCACAAATTTGTGTGCCACAACTACATATTTACACGCGATCCAATTTTTGGCACAGTTGTCGAGGATAGATACAAGGGACACATACGTAAGTGCACACTGTTGCATGGAAATTCTTTAACAATTAAAAGTCAAGGCACACTGTTGCAAAGTCAGACAACCTTATTACAAAGTTATAGCTCATCTTTGAGAGCTTTGGAGAACCAAGTGGGCCAAATCGCCATAACATTACATGCTCGCCAACAAGGAAACCTCCCTATTGATACCGAGGTTACTAGGCCTCACTAAAATGAGCAATACAGTGAGCTTACACTGAGGAGTGGTACCTAGCTCAATCAAGAAGACAAGTTTGGGGGGAAGAAGCAAAAAAAATTTCGTCGCGGAACTGTACTAGAATAATATGAAGGTTAAGCTGAACTTTCTATATAAGAAGAATTGCCTATGGAGAAGGACAATGATGAGGGTTCAACTGGTCTCTCTACTGATGGAGGAAAATTTATTGCCATGACAAACGTTTCACCCCCACCTGCAGCAGACGAAGTCAGACCCCACCACCCTTCCCTCAAAGGTTGAAGAAGCATAACGAAGAGATCATATTCCACTACGATTCAACTTCATGTGAAAAACACTTTGAATGAGAAAGGACTACTGGAAAGGTCCTACAATCTGATTTCTATTGGCCTACACCCTTCAACGATACCTAAGATTTCTATAAATCTTGCGATAGATGCCAATGGACGGGGAACTTACATGGAAGACACTTAATGCCAAGACAAAATATTTTGAAGGTGGAACTGTTATATGTGTGGGATATTTTGGTCTATACTGGTGCTCCGATCGAACGTGACAAAACTGTCATATCAATTTAGGATGTTTGGAGTTTACATCCTTTCAACCCTCTTTAATTTTTTTTGTTATACAAAAATATTTTTGTGTGTGTTTGTTTTTCTTTGCTATATTTCTTTATTTACTTTTAATATTAGTTTTTTTTAGAAGAACTGACTCCCAAACATGTGGAAAATAGTAAAGCCCCTATGGATGTTGCACCCACTTAGAAAGAATACTCAATTGGTGTTGGCACAAACGATGACATTGCTGATGATGTCCACACATCTGCATAAATGACACGATAAATTGCAATACCTCTGACCAAGCATCGCCTGAAGAGGACAACCAATCACATTTGGACTTCTTCATATGAGGAATCTGGGCAAAAGAACTCTATCACCATCAAAGTAGACGTTAGTCAAGGTACCTTGCATTGCATTTCATCTTTAGTTTAATTTCCATGCATCGAGGACAATGCATCCCTCAAGTTTGGGGAGGTATTGTTCATACTTAGTCATTTGCATAGATAATGTTTAGTATAATTTTTTTGTTATGCATTAGCTAGGATTAGGTTAGTTACTTGGAATAAGTTGATGATGCCCGATGATGATGAATATTTTTGCCATGGCTAGAAATGAATGTACATGACTGTTGAGGAGTATAGAACCAACCCTAGGACTTGATTTTTTATGACTCTTTGAACAAGATTGTCTGTTTTCTATGCTTAAGGAACTTAGAAAATTTTTATGAAAGAACTTTTAAATACCTTGGCATAACATTTTGGTAATGAACTAAGCTGCTATATCAATGTTTGAAAAGGCTAAGTTAAACTCCTCAATATCTTGAATTGTGTTGAACTGCAAACAAATGCCTCGGTATAATTGTAGAGGGACACTTCTTTGTGTGACGGTATTGCCTGGAAATCCCTTGAATAAATGGCAGCCTTAGTACATGAGTGACTGAAAGTAGTCACAAGATGACTCTATTTGACTAGCTCGGGGATGAAATTTATGCTCCCATTCATCTAGAGTGAGGGATGGTAGTTGTGATAGGCTGACTCCCCTTGTGCAATGCTAAAAAAATGAAAAATTGAAAAATTAAAAAGTTTAAGTGTTTGAATAAACATGAGTAATTTTGAGCTTAATGAATAATTTTATGCATTGGCAAAACAAAAGAACTTACTTAGGGACTTTTTTAATTTCGTTAAGCATAGACTCAATACAATCACGCACGCATATACACTTACAAATGATCTGTTATATATGTAGGGCATTTTGGTCTATATTGGTGCTCCGATCAAATGAGACAAAATTGTCATATCAATTTAGGATGTTTGGAGTTTGCATCCCTTCAACCCTCTTTAATTTTTTTTATCATGGAAAAATTATTTTTTGTTGTGTTTGTGTGTTTGTTTTTCTTTTCTTTATTTACTTTTAAGTTGATGATGCCCAATGATAATGAAATATTTTTTCCATGGCTAGAAATTAATGTGCATGATTGTTGAGGAGTATAGAACCAACCCTAGGACTTGATTCTTTGTGACTCTTTTAACACGATTGTATGTTTTCTATGCTTAAAAAACTTAGAAAAAATTTATGAAAGAAATTTTGCATACATTGGCATAAAATTTTTGGTAATGAACTAAACTGCTATATCAATATTTTAAAAGGCTAAGTTAAACTCGTCAATATTTTGAATTGTGTTGATCTGTAAATAAATGCCTTGGTATAACTGTAGAGGGTCACTCCTCTGTGTGAAGGCATTACCTGGAAATCCCTTGAATAAATGGCAGCCTTAGTACATGAGTGAATGAAAGTAGTCACGGGATGACTCTACTTGACTAGCTCGGGGTTGGAAGGTATGCTCCCATTCATCTAGAGTGAGGGATGGTAGTTGTGATAGGCTAACTCCTCTTGTTCGGTGCTAAAAAAATGAAAATTTGAAAAATTAAAAAGTTTAAGTGTTGAATAAATAGGAGTAATTTTGTGCTTAATGAATAATTTTATGCCTTGGCAAAAAAAAGAACTTACTTTGGAACTTTTTAATTTCGTTAAGCATAGACTCGATACAATCACGCACACACACACTTACAAAGGATCTTAGCCTATGGAAAGGTACTTGACTTCTTAATTAGTCTAGCATGTTGAAGCCAAACTTTTTTCTGAGGGTTGAAATCTTAGACCACTTTACTGTCCTGATTTAGACTTTGCCATAGCATTTTATTTTTTTGTTGATCATTATTCATTGCTTGAGTATAAACAATAAATTAAGTTTGGGGGTGCGATAACCCTGTAAAAAGACTACATTTTGGATCTTTTTACTTAAGTTACTGATTATTTAAAAGCCATTGTCATAACATTTTAATTGCATATAGTTACATTTAGGACATTTATTGCATGTGGTGGAAAAGTTTTGCCGCGGCAAGTTTTTCTTGATAAAATTGATTCTGCTAATGAGAAGGGTTGTGTGTTGGCTGTAATCGTGCGAGAGATGGAAAATTACCGATGAGAGAATTATTTGCCATGACAATTTTAAAGTGAGGGCCAAAGAAACTGATGATGATAACCATGAGGAATTTTTTGCCGCGACAAGTTTTTCTTGCAAGTTTGGACGCAGGACAAGACAAAGTAGCTAACACCGCGCGACCAGCTATCCAAGTAACCTCACGTGAATTACCTGCCCCTGCTGATATTTTGAGACCACCTCCAGCTGCTTTAAAATCAAATTTTGTGTTTGATGCCTACATTTTTAGGGATTCATACATTTTTAAGGATCCCTACATTTTCCATATTTTGAGATTTTGGAGGCAGCAACACCATTTTTCTTTATCTTATTCCTTCTTCCTTTTTCGTGTTAACCTCCATAGCCGAGCTTCGTCGGGATAACGGCTAGGCCCTCGAGAGAGGCTAGCCTGCTGGAGCAGTCATGGTGATGGTCTAGGAGTTAAGGAAGTAGCTCCATTTCGGGAGTTTCCTTCTCATTTGCTTTCCATTTTCTTATCTTTGTTGAACTTGCTTTTAAGTATTATCTTGTTTGAACTTAGCCACACCTAGGAACACTTCTAGTAAATCTTATTGGGCAACATATACATAATGTACTTAGATCATCTTAGGCATAGAATAATTTCTCGCTGTAGCAAATCCAACCAATTACTTCGTTAGAAGCTTGATTGTGTGAAGTTTTCATTCTATTTCCAGCGTTCAGAAAAATTTCATCTTAGCAACTTTTATTTACTTAGTCTTGCAATTAATTTTTTCCTTAGAAATTTTTATTTGTTTACTTTTCATATTTTTCTTGCCACAACAAAAATTATCTATTCACTTTACTTCACACATTTCTTGCCTCAGAAAATGTTTTCCATCTGTTCATACCATCTGTCATAGCACATTTCTCAATCGTTTATATCTTTATACTGAAATTTAGGATTAGTTAGTGACACCTATTCCTAGTTGTAGCAATCTTTTAAAAGTCCTCCAATCCATGTGGAGATGATACTCACTCACAACTATATTACTTGCATCGATCGTGTATACTTGTACAGATTTGTGTGCTACATCACACATATTTACAATCGATCAACACCTCTAGAGGGTCTCTAACCCTAATTATTGTAATTGTTATGCATTATCTAAATGCAACCCTGACACTATTGTGCATTATCTAAATGCAACCCTGACATTATTGTGCATTATCTAAATGCAACATTGACATGCTCTACACTATATGAATGTAACATGCTTCTAGTATTTGTTCTCACATAGCTATCAAAGATTAGTTAACTGAGGGAACCCGATGTCACAAAGTATCTGTGAAATTCCCACTAAGCTGCTGAATGATCTCCTGGTCCTCACATAGCCATCAGGTAGATAATAGAGGGGGAACCCGTTTATTACATAGCAATAGGTACAATTCCCACTTAACTGAAACATTGGCTCGGTCTCACATAGTCATCAAGCCAAGCTCTAATGATATATGTTGTATTGGACTAATGCAACTATATATGCATAACTGAGGGCCATAAGGCCACATAATGCTGGCAATGCCCCACTAGTGCAACTAAGGTAGCCTGGCTAACCCTAGCATAGTTGGACACAGTAAGTGAGGTCATCCTCTCACTAGCTACTATATCGCTCATACTCTTACCTAGAACGTTATGTAAAGGTTTATTAGTTAGTTACTGTTGTTAGTTATTAAGCTGTTATATTCTAGTTGTTTGTTACTTAAGGGTGTTTTGGTTATTCTACATCTCTAGAGAAGTCTCTGTGTGTTTCGTGATTTTATGATGATTACTGTGCTCGTTGTTCGTTTTCTATAACACTCGCCAGCCTAACACTTGAATCGGGTTCATTATTGGGTAGCAACACTCTAATCTCTCTTATCGTACTTCTGTGTAATACCCTTTAACTTGGAATGATGGTTTATATGTTCTCGATTCACTGACTTTTTGAAGTACACGACTTCACTGTTACGTAATCTAACTTACTTATCACACCGCTTGTCGGTACATCCTCTTTAACGATCCACATTTTTAATTATTCGATACGTGTTCAACTGAAGATACTAGTGTTCTTGGGTATCTTTGGTCGTTTAATCATCCTTACCTCTTATGGGCCTTAAAGATATCAAATGTAACCATCCAAAGTGGGTAGTATCGATACACTACTTGCAGTATCGATACCCTATGGTTAAGAATCGATACTCCTATGAGTATCGGTACAATAAATGGCTTTTGTTACTGAAAATTTGGCCCAATATCGATATTGTATACCCTGAGTATCAATACTATAGGGGCAATATCGATACTCTCGCTTGGATATCCCCAAATTTTGTCCCAATTCATCCAATATTGATATTGTTCATCTAGTATCGATACTCAAACCTAGAAATGTCTTATCTAAGGTGGGGAAACACCCAAAAATCATCCCAAATGTCTTATTTTGGTTCTTAATCATGTGCCAAAGCTTTAGAAGGTTACTTAAGGTCTTAAAGTGGCATAAAAGCACATTCTTTATATCAATTTCGTCATCTAATCACGAAATCAAGCATAAACCCTAGAAATGCTTAAAAACTCAAATATAAACTAAATTTCATGATTATGAAAGCCTTAACACCACAAAGGAATAGAAATGGATTACCTTAGTTAAAGAATCCCGAAATGAAGCTCTTTCATTGGCCATACTCCTTTCCTCTAAGATTTGGATGAAAATCCCCACTTTTTTTTAACTATGAAGAACGCAATGCCTTGAAACATTAATATGATGTTGCTGAAGGGATTAGGAATGAAATTGAAGTATGAAATGGGCTTAAGAACTTACCTTTGAGCTATGATACTTAGGTGGAAGAATGGAGAAGAGGAAATGAAAAAAAAAATAAAGGGAAGAAGAAGAAATGAGAGATATAAAAACTCACATCCTTTTAAATTGTGTAGTTATGCTTTTGGTCCCTTCTCATCTTCCTACCATTCGAAAATCTCCTTTTTATGGCTAATTGGGCCTAATTTCAACCCAGTTAAGCCCAACAACTTAAATTATAAAATTCACGGGATCCACATACCTTTCGAGTTAACCTGAAACTACTAGCCTCAAATTTGGGGTGTTACAACCCATGGTCCGCTAGAGTTCCACCAAGTAATCTCAAGGATACAAGAAGCCCAACCAACACCACGAAGGTTGTTCTCTTCACTCCATAATTCTGCTTAATTGTAGTCATGAACTTGTTAGAAGATAACGACATGCATAATGGTCGTCCAATAAATAGACACCAAGATTTTACATGGAAAACCCTTTCGGGGGAAAATCTCAGGTAGAAGTGGAAAAATCCACTAATATCAAGAGAAGACAAATACAAGAGGAGTCCTCATTGTTAGCCCGATCTCTAATCATAATCCTTAGTATCTATTTATAGGGATAAATACTTGATTACAAAGGAAACTTATAAAGTAGAAATCTAATTAAAGTAGATTTTCTACAAAAGGAAAAAGTAAAGTTTCTACTTTTAATCTAATTAGATTTCTTACTTTTCACAAATAATTTAATTAATTTGTGTCACTTTGAATTCAAGTCAAACTCTAACAATCTCCACTTTGAAGCGGATTCTGAAAGTGCGAAGGTTTCAAGACAAAATACTCAAATTCGATGAGACACCCAAATTTAACAAAAATAATTCTTCATTTCAACAAACAAGCTCTCCACCTTGAGAGCATATTCCCCACTTCTTCCACGAAATCCATTAGAGGGGTAATTACCATGAATGAGTTGCGAATTAACTTATGAAATACTAAATACATGTCGTTGCATGTCCTAGCAAATTTAGAATTAGGGATATTTACCATGAATGAGTTGAGAATTAAACCCTAAATACAATCCAAATCAAATCTAACAAAATCAAACTCCTAAAAAAATAATCAACCAATTAAAGTGAGATTTAGGAATGTGATAGTCGAGACAAAAGCGAAACAAAACAAATTAAACTAACAACTTATATAAAACTAAGCAATATATGGAGTGAAGGGTTATTCAATTAGTTTTAATATCATGATTTATTAATAGCCTACAGATAATCTGACATCACCTCGACTATTCAAAATGGTAGAACAAAGATAAACATTACAGTAACAAAATAAAGGGTAACACACAAATAGTCCATGATATTATTTTATTAAGTTTTTTAATTATTAAAAATTATAAAATAATTATTTAACTATAGAGTATTATTTTATTGAGTCACCGGACTATTCATTATGTTATAAACCATTCTTTTATGTTAAAAATTGATAGTATTTTGATCTGAACGTTAATATGCTAATTGTGACATAATAAAATCTAATCACGAAATCTCAAACGACTATCATATCCTAATCACCATGTTAATATCTAGTTTAGACAACTTTCATTTTTTTAATGGAACATAGTGAATAGTTGGGTGATCATTTTGTAACTTTTAATAGTTAAAGGACTTAATAAAGCAACATTCTATAGTCAAAATATCATTTTATAACTTTTAATAGTTGAGAAACTTAATAGAGAAATACCTTATAGTCAAGGACCATTTATGTACTTTACCATAAAATAGAAAGAGTAAATTAAACCCAAGCTCACTTAAGTAATATTTTGTAACAAATATTATTTCAATCAAGTCACTCAATTCAAATATTATTTCAATCAAGTCACTCAATTCAAATATTGTTACAAACATATTATTGTATTGTTAAATTTATATGAAATAGTTACTTGGTATAATATAATATTAATTTTAGTCCTTAAAACTTATATAGTTTATCAATTTTTTCCTCGTCCAAATATCTTTAAAATTCATTTCTTTCCTATGAACTTTAATTTACGTATCAATTTCTTCATAAAATCGTTAACTTTTCTAATCATCTATGTTGGTTAATCATCGTTTACATCAAGATTGATACCAAAATATTCACATTTCACTCATATTTCTTCTTTTTGGATTGGAAACCACTCATATCTAGGGGTGTAAACGAGCCGAGTCGAGTTCGAGTATTGTTGAGTTCGACTCGACTCGAAAACTCTGAAATGAAGCTCGACTCGACTCGAAAACTCGCTAGCTTAAAATTTTCAAGCTCGACTCAAACTCGAAATCCTGAACTGAAGCTCGTGAGCAGCTCGAAAATGCTCGAAATGAAATAAAAAATTCTTAAACTTAACTCGATTGAAGCCTCAAACTCAAACTTGAACATGAACCTTAAATACATGAAAATCTTACTGTATTTTTAAAAAAAATCAATACATAAATATTAATATTATTAATAATTTATTTTTTAAAAAATAAAATCTTAATATATTATATTTTCTAGCTGCACATGAGCTTTTCGAGTCGAATATCGGGTAGGTCGTTTTGGCTCGTTAAGAACTCGAGTCAAGTCCATTCGATCCAAGTATTTATCGAGCCTTGATCAAGTCCATTCGATCCGAGTACCTTGATCGAGTCGATCTCGAGTAGCTCGCGATCTATCTCGTTTCATTTACAGAACAACTCATATCAACGAAAAATCATCTAAAGGTTTAACATTTTAATGCTCTGGTCTTCAATATTTGTTCACTGAAACTAATTTCGAGATATGTTATATGTCTACTGAAAAGAATACTTCTCTCTACTTAAATTTTCGTAATATAACATTTAAAGCAAATTTATTTAATTTTCTACAATACAACATTAGGGTAAATTTTTAAACATCCAAACATAAAACGAACTTAAAAACTTCATATAATTTTTAAACTTGCTTATGTCAATATCTGTCTCTTTCGACTCATTTTTATAAATTATGTTTGATGTTTTTTATTTTGTATATACCCTTAGCTTGTTTGATTTTACGATTATAAACTCTCAAAGGTAAGTAACTTAGATTTTTATTTTAAAGTTTGGCTTGAACTTTAATTTTCGTAATTAAAGCAACATATAATTGTGTTGGTATCAATTATGAGCGTTGTGGAGTGCTCATCTTTACTCACACGTAACTAACTTCCGAATATATCAAAAAATTATCTGGTAAAACATCAATTCGGTAAAAAAATAAATTTAGGTATCTGACCTTACCTAACTCAAAAAAGACAACTTCGAAAAGATAAAATCATTTACTTTTGTGGTGCGTTTGGTTCACGGAATGTAAGATTATCAGTGAGAATAAAAAATTACCAGGGAATAGGATTACTGGGAATGTTGTATTTTGTGTTTGGTTGGTTTAGCAAGAATGTAAGATTATCGTGTTTAGTTAAAGGAATAAAAGATTATTGGAATGTAAATTTGACCAAATTGTCCTTTTTATATATTTGTATAATATTAAAAGTTGGAAAATATTTATACATTTTCTTTAAAAAAAATTAAATTCATAAAATTTATATATTTTTTTTACAAAATTAAAAATATAAAAAAGGTTTAATGAAAGGGTAAAATTTTATTTTAACCCCTGAACTTCATATAAAATTTTAATTATAGATTTTTTTTGTAAATCTAAAATTATTTAAGGATAAATTTGTAATTTAACATTTCTAGAATTTTTATTATTCAATGACAGAAGAATGATATTTTTAAAGAAAAAAAATTTAAGGGCATTTTAGTCCAAAAAGCCGGTAATGTTACAATACCTAAGCGAATAGAGTCCCGATAATATACCCAAAAAATTCACTATTAATAATAAAATATTACCGAGAATGACATTTTCGGCCAACCAAGAAAAATGTGGATTCCATTCTCGGGAAATCCACATTCCCCATCCAAACGCACCTTGGTGCCTTTGGTTTTTGTTTCGTGTTTCCGCAGCTTATAAGTGCCGCTCAAATCATAAATCTGTATTATCTGATAGCAGGGAAGATACAATTGGTGCGGAATGAACAGCTCCAGGGAAGATTCTCCAGATTGGCTTCGCTCTTTTCAGGTATGTGCTCTTTTCAGGTATGTTTACCCTGCTTTGTTTAGCTTCTACAATCCTTTCATTTGGGCATCAATCTGTCTAATCAGACTTTCTATTTTTTTTGCAGTCGTAAATTCTATAATAGTTTATTCTTGAACTTAGGACTGTAAATTAGACGATATAGATAAATATTTTATTCGAATGGACTTGTCTCAAGTTTAAGCTCGATTTCTTATTAAGTCATTTGATAATTGATTTGAAAAAGCTCCCGAACAACTCGAAATAAAGAATATATTAAAATTTTATTTCTTTTAAAAATTAAATAATTAATAATATTAACATTTATGTGGTGATTTTTTTTTTAAAATGCATGATCAATTTGAGTTTGAGATTCAACAGAATTAAGTGTTTTTTTTATTTCAAGCTTTTTCGAGCTTCAATTCATGATTTCGTATTCGAGACGAGTTTGAAAATTTTAGGGTCGCGAGCTTTCAAGCCGGGTCGAGTTATATTTTAAAGTTTTCTAGTTGCGTCGAGCTCCACAATACCTTAGCTCGAATCGTCACATTTACAGCCCTACTTGCACCTTCACCTTGATTCCTTACTGATTTGCGAGAATTAACTTTGATTCCAGGCACCAACTTCTAATGTGACATTATCTTCCGATTCCGATTCTTTGCCAAATGGTAAAACTTCCTATGAATGTCAAGGACCGATGCCAAATGATGCTTAAATGAACTGTGAAAGATATATAATAGATTAGCTTCTGATTTTCCAGGTGACTTTGTTATTTACAACTTGTGTATGAATGATACAGGGAGTGAGGAGGATGGAAAGGTTTCTATGGAAGAAATGTCCAAGAAAGGCTTGTTGTCTCATGTAAGATTTCACACTGCCTTGCCTTGGGATTACCTAATTCAGGCTTATCGTTTATCATAGCATGTCACTGTCTATAAAAAATGTCATCAAACTTAAAAAAGATTTTAGAATTGATGAAAACGAAGACATTTTTGCTTTGGGAAAGAATCAGTTTATGATTGAACAAAGCCATTGTCATTCATTTAACGAATGATAAAGCTTTATAATGTAAATGTTACTTCATACGTTTTAGACATATACCATAATAAGATAGCCGACCTGGTATTACTCGGATTAGATTGGATGGATACTGTTAATATTGGTGCTGATGAAAGTAGTTGGATGTTGAACAGACAGCAAATAATTCAATTCGGACTTTATCGTCAGATTCTGAATCTTCTCCTAAAAGGAAGGAGAAAGGGTATTTATCTCAAGAAAGTGGTGAGACCAGTGATCTAGTTCTGACCGGAAGAGCCGAAAAGTCTCCACGAAAGAAGACTTCTAAAGGAATATCTCCAAAAAAGAGGGTAAAAACTGGGGGTCAGACTCCCAAAAGGGAGAAGAATGTAAAAGATGATGCAAAGGTAACAGGTATGATACCGGATTTGTAAAATGTGCTTTTAAATTCTTTTGGGTTTGGCTAGCTTAAAATATTCATATGGATGATGCAAAGGCCATTTATGTGATAAAGCTACCAAAGTTGCTTCACATGCAATGTCTGATTCTCTTACAGAAAATTATGGTAACGTGGAAACTGCCGAGGAGGCGGCATTAGAAAAACACATTGAACCTCATGTAAGAATGTTAGTAGCAAATGTGATGTTTTCTTTTTGTCATCTGAGCCTCTGGTTCACTGAATTCTGTAAAATTTATAATATGTAGGCTTCCACCTCAATGTTGCCTTTGGTACTGTCTGAGAAAGTACAACGCTCAAAGATAAGATACATTTTGTCATAGTTATGTCTTATATACAACTAACTTCCCTAGACAATTGGCGGTAACTTTCAAGAAGGATTATATTGACGGTGCCTAGGATTATAATCAGGAATAATCTAAAACTTATAATTTAGTTACTTTCTTAGTCACTAAAGCTCTGCAAACAACCTAGGAGAACCTAGACAGTAGAAACCAATCTTAACTCGTATATTTGGTCTCTCTAGTTGCAGACTCTTAAGGACTTAGCATCATGCTTTTTATTTTAATCCAAAATCTAAGATTTTTTTATTTATATGTCTGCAAAAGTGGAAGCCTCAAACAAAATTTTTTTGTGTTGTAGAAATCTTAAATATTATAGAATTAACATAATAATTTTTGGCCTTTTGACCACATGTCTGCAGTGAAAAGGAACCAGTGATTAACAAGATGTTGTGGTTTGTGCAGGCACTTGTTGAATGCGAAGGGGATTCCATTGATTTGAGTGGTGATATGGGGGCTGTTGGTCGAATTGTAGTTTCTGGTTCTGCATCTGAAAATCACGAGGTGTTCTTAGACTTAAAAGGCATGTGTTGTTTAACTGCTCTTCTTAGGTTCTGATGATATATCTGTTTATTTTGTATTTGAATTTGTAAATTATCATCTTTGAATGGTTGGTGAGTTACTGACAGATATATTCCTGTATACTTGGACTTGTTCTGCACTCAGATTCATCAAGTTACTGAATTTTCTGCCGTTCTAGTTTGAAGACATTATCTTTCTTAATCTCTCATGAGTCATGACTGGTTTTGAATGACATTTTCTCAGGAACCATATACAAAACAAAAATGGTTCCTTCCAGAACATTTTGCATCGTGCGCAAATTCTGTCTTGCATTTTCTCTGGACATTTGTGATTGTATTGATGTTTATGCAGATTTTTTGGTCTACAGGTTAGCTTCGGTCAGACCGAGGCCAAGGTTTGTCCTAGAACTTAACTTTGGTATTGGTTTGATCAGTCAGAGGCTTGTTATTTTCCTGAATGTTGCTTTTAAGTTTCTTTATTGCGCCTCTGAATTGTATAGTATGTTCTCAGATAGAGGCCATCATGAATGACTTCATTCAGCTGAAGCCACAATCCAATGTTTATGAAGCAGAAACAATGGTGGAAGGTTATGTTATTTTAGCTATATATATCTATACACGACTAGTGCTTTAATGTAACATTAGATTATGGTTAATATTTTGACATACTTTCATGAAGAAGAAAAAAATTAACTGACCCTATTCCCATATATAATGGGGTAAAGGGAGGTAGGATAGTAGGCTGCCCCCAACGTCAGGTTGAGAGCAGCTTCCGTGGGAGACCTCCGGCAGTTAGAATTATGAATTACCCCCCATGGGACTCGATCCTACGACCACAAGGTTAAGAGCCTTGCGCTCTACATACTTTCATGAAGCATTTACTCATTTCCTGATATTCGATTGATCTGGAATTAATAGGTACGCTAGAGGGCTTCTCGTTTGATTCTGAAGATGAAGCTGAGAAGATGCCGAAGGCAATTCCTCATCAAACCGAGGAGATTGATGGGCAAATGAATGGGAAGTCCAAGGGAAGAGCTGAGAAAACATCTGTATGCATTCAAACCACCTTAACTAACGTGCATCTTTGTTTAATGCCATATTGCCGCCATCATCATCATCTCTATGATGCTTATATAACAAGGGATGTGTCGGTGTAGATGGCGTCTCGGAAGAGAGGTAAACCAGTTGGAGGGAAGTCACAGTCAGCCAAGAAAGCAAGAAAGAAGACTGGCATTTCAAAGAAACCCAAGGCCAAAAAATAACTCAAGACAAATCAATGCTCAAAATACTCTTGTATATGGGCATAATCAGCCATTTAATGTTGGTGTAATAATTATTTAGGTTTCTAGGGTGATTAAAAAATTAATTAGCAATTTATGGTATTTACTATGGTGTCTTGGAACTCGTTACGTGGGTATAATAAGTTCTAATAAAATATTTTTTATTAGAACTTGTCACTCAAATGTAGCAGATTTTAATAAAAAAATATTTTTTAGAGCTTGCCATGCTTATGTGACCAGTTTGAATAATATGTTTTTTTGAAACTTATGACCTCTAGATGATTGGTTCGCCCTTTATTATAGTAAATATTATAGATCTCAAAATAAATTTTGAGCTTTAAGCAAATAAATTTATTAATGGGCTTTTAGTATTATTTGATCAATTTTGTTGTTGTTGTACACTTTAAAATGCCATGTTTCAAACTCAGCTTTCTAAATGGATTTTTAAAATTTTTCAAAAATGAGATTTTGGAATTTTAAATTGTTAATATTTATAATTATTTTGTTCAATAAAATATAAGGGACTATAAAAGTTCAACGTTTGAAAAATAAAGAGTTTTTTTTACCTTGAAATGATATATTCGATGTCAGAACTCTTCTAAAATAAAATAAAATAACTACATAATTAAACGCTAAGAATTTTTACCTTAAAATAAAATATTGGACTCAAAAAGTTAAAAATACAATTTGCATTATGCCTAATTATAAATACCCAAAAAAACAAATAGTTGAAATTCATTATAATTAAACTCTTATAAAGATTACAGGTGCTACTTAGTAGGGACGGATTAAGTGTATTCTCGTTATTTAATAGTTGAAATTAAGACTCGACTATTTGATAATGAACGGTCAAACACTCCTTATAGACAATATACTCGAACCCAGACCCGACTATTAGGGGAGCTCCCCGAGCGAGTACTCAAGGCCTCCATTTTTTCATCCTTGTAATTGGGGGCCCTATTTTTTCATCTTTATAATTTGGTCCTTCATTTTTTAAATCTTATTTTTCACCTTTATAATTGAGGACCTAATATTATTCAATCTAACTTTTTATCTTTATAATTGAAATCTCTATTTTTTTTAATCCCCTTTTTTCCTTTATAATTGAGGCCCCTAATTCTATAGTCTCACTTTTAACTTTATAATTGAGACTTTTAAGTTTTTTCAATCTCACTTTCTACCTTTTCAATTAAGGCTCTAAGTTTTTTCAATCTCAATTTCTACCTTTATAATTGATGCCCCTAATTTTTTTAATCTCACTTTTTTAACTTCATAATTGAGGCCCTTAAGTTTTTTTAATATCACTTTCTAACTTTCTAATTGAGGCCCCTAAGAATTTTCTATCTTAATTATACCTTTGTAATTGAGATCCCTATTTTTTTCAATCTCAATTTCTACCTTTATAATTAAGGCCTCTAATTTTTTACAATTTCATAAAATTCTCAATTTCTCATCCATTTCTCCATCTCTCTCGTTAATTCATTTAATTTTGAATTAAATATAATTATATTTGTCTCTTATTTTTTACAAATCTTATTTTTTAATTTAGCAAATATTCTTTAATTCTTAATCTTCTCCAATCTCAATCTAACGATAACATAATATATTATTCTTTATCTTTTTAATTTATTATTCAGAATAAAGCTCCATATCATAATTCATACCCACATTCGATTTTTTATTCTCTTAGTTGTATTTAAGATGTTTTCTTAACAAAACAATAAAATTAATATTCAAAAAAATTTAATAATTTTTCCACGATATTAAATTAATTGTTTAAAGTAATGGAGTATATTTTCCTTCGATCAAGACCTATTTTTTTTTTATTTTTTTCTCAATGTCTCGAAAATATTTAAGATGATTCTACTCGAACTCAAAATCTCTAAAAATAATAATCATGCTTTAATCAATTGGTTTGTGCCGACATAAAGACAAGTGAAACAAGATAAAAAGGAGTCCTAAGGTTAATAATAAGATAGCTATATACGTAATATCTAATCTAGCTCATATAGTCATATCAATGCTGCCATCCCCAACTTGGCCGCAGCCGGAGGAGTCTGCGCGTCTCGCCGCCGCTTAAAACCACAGCTATCGGAAGGCGGCGAATTATCAGCATCAAGCTTCCTCCTGATACCTCTGATCACCTGCTCCTCGGCCTGAGAAAGAGGGAAAACCTGGCCACTTGCTCGACAAAGCGAGCTATTATTATCGTACAGAATTCTCTGGTTACAGTTCATGTCACAGATGTGTGTGATTCCCGTCAGTTTGCATCGATACATGTTGCCACAAACATGTTCGTTTTGACATTTCCAGTCGCATTTGTGGACAGTGGAGGGACCATCACAGCCCAGAATGGTAGACAAATAAATGACATTTGCAGGTGCAGCAGCAGCAGCCATGGCTTTTACACGATGAAATTCCAAAAGCTGTGCACTTTTAACAGTGATGAACCGGGAAAATGAAACACAGAAAAGAAAAAGGAGGAAGAACACAGGCACTTTAAGTCTATGAACGAATGAAGGGAAGAAGAAGACAAGGGAAAATGGAGAAAGAGGAGCATATATAGAAGAAGGGTAAAGAGGAAAGTGAGTTAAAATAGGGAGCCGAAGAGAGGGGAGAGGAGGGGGGTTGACCAAAGCATTTTGGGAAACAAAGAACATCTGACTGAGTTGGGCGTTTTGGTGTGAAATAGAAACCCCAAACGAATTCATATGTAACTTCGCACTGTACTAACGACCAACCATTACCACAAAACAATTAACTACATAATATTGGGTCATTTTTATTTCATTTTAGCTAAGATGTGGTCACTGAAGTTTAACGGTCGTGAAACATTTAACGGTTTATTGACATGACATAATAAATATTAAAATAAAAATTACATCATTTCCACGTAGATAATACGTAGATTAAGTTTTTGTCACTTTCCTTTCATATTTGTACATTTTTTCTCATCAAATTAAGAAAAACATAAATTTTAGTCACTTACGTTATTGTTTTATTAATTTTTGGTCGCTTGCATTATCGTTTTATTAAGCTTTTGTCACTTGGACGTTGAATGTCGTTAGTTTGATGACATGACCCATTAGTAAAATGGTTTAATTTTTATTTTAACCCTACACTTTAGACAAAATATTGATTATGAGTCTTTTTGTAAATTCAAATTAGTTTAGGGATAACAATTCAATTTATCCATTTTTGTAGGTTTTCTTCCCAATCCTATTGTTGTTCATCTCTTGTCTGCAAACATCTCTGCTCCATTGCTCAAGTTGCCTTCTTTCAAGGACTCATGTTACAAATTAAGAATAATGTATTTCCAACTTTCGATAACAAATAATAACACCACAAGTTTAGAGAAAAATGAGAGGGTATGCATCTAGAGATAAAATGAAGTTGGGTAATCTCATTTACACAAACTAAAATTCAATATTTAAAGATTGAGGTTGTAGAATGTCAAATCCAACAAGGAACAAGAAGACAAATCAATGGATCTAAATAACTCGAAAATTGGATATCACTCTTCGTGGTGATTTCCTTTTGAGAAAATGCCTCCAGTGAAACATGATCAATGAATCCAAACAACTCGATAACTAGATATGTGAATTCATCCACTGAAATCAATCCAAAATTCATAATCTTCAACGTCGAATCTTTGTTTTGCTTAAGAACAAACAATTTTACAATTCTAGATCCCTGTGAATAATGTTCACCTTATGAATTATCGATAACCCTTGCGACCTACTCGATCTGTTGCACCACCGCCACCGCGCCAACCTCTGAGTATCTTATTTCTATGATGACCCATTCAAACAACTCACCATCAGAGTAGAGCTCCAATACTAAGTGAACGTCGGTTTAATAATCGTAAACGTCATGGACGTCAATCACGTTTGGATACGAAGAAACATTCTCGACAATCTTTCACAGCACGGGGAATTCGTTAGCCAACAACACGTCGGAGATAGAAACCTGGTAGTATTTCGTCACTATCGTCGACATTGAGGAAGCTCTAGTTTTCTTGGATCGAGGCGGTAGCATCACCATGGTGGTGAATCTTTTCTGAGTTTTAATGACAGATTCTCTGCATTTTTCACGATATTCAATACTTCTTTTTATACCTTTTCTTACAAACCTAAACCTAAACGTTAAACCTAATGTTGTCCCTAAACTAACTTGAATTTACAAAAAGGCTCATGAATATTATTTTATCTAAAATTTAGGGGCTAAAATAAAAATTAAACCATTTTATTAACGAGTCACGTCATCAAACTAAAGACATTGAACTCCAAGTGACCAAAACTTAATAAAACAATAACATAAGTGACCAAAACTTATGTTTTTTGAATTTGGTGAGCAAAATTATACAAATATGAAAGGAAAGTGACCAAAACTTAATCCACTTATTATCTACGTAGAAATGATGTAATTTTAATTTTATATATTTATCGTGTCACGTCAGCAAACCATTATAAGTTTAACGATTGTTAACCTTCAGTTATCACATCTTAATTAAAAAGAAACGAAAGTGACGAATATTATGTTTTTTGAATTCAGTGAGAAAAAATTAATAGAACTCAAACGAAAGTGACAAATAGTTTCTGAGTTTGTTTAGTTAGCTAAGTTTTGTATATAAACATGAGACATGTACTTAGTTAATGATGTGAAATTATATTAGTATTATTCATTTACATTTTTAAAAAATAACTAAAAATTCAACATAAAAATCTATCGATCAACTCAAAAAAATATATTTTTTTTTATTTTTTAAATTAAATTATTAATAATATTAAAATTTATATGTTGTTTTTAATATAATATAAGGTTTTTATGCATTAAAGGTTCAGATTTGAGTTTGAGTTTAATCTTTAATCGAGCTAAGTTTAGAATGTTTCAAATTCAAGTTATTCAAGCTTGATTCGAACTTCAATTTTATATTTCGAGTTTGAGTCGAGCTTAATAATTTTAAGCTCATGAACTATGGAGTCGAGTTGAACTCATATTTAAACTTTTAGAGTTAATTCGAGCTCATCAATACACGAACTCGACTCAATTACAATCTTAGTAGAGAGGAACGAATTGGGAATTGATGGATTGGTCCCCATAAGTTTTTAAAATTAATATTTGATCCTTCAATTTTTTAAAGTTTAAGCTTTATCCTTTCAAATTTTTAATTTTTAAATAGTTTTAATTAAGCCCTTTTTAAAAAGAAATAAATAATCTTATTAACTCTAAATTTTTTTGAAAATTTTAGTTTAACGTTTTATAATTTTAAATAAATCTCTCAAATAATTTTATCATATTAGTATCTTCCTATTCAGATTTCATAGTAGAAACTTCATTATTTTTGGGTAAAATACACCTCGAGTCACCCGATTACTAATTTAATTACAAATGGTTACCTTCTAAAAGATACAATTTAGTCACTCAATCAAAAATATTATTACAAATATGTTATCGAAATTAAAACAATTCAAAATAATTCAATATCTAATTTGGTTCTAATCCAAAATAATTCAATAAATTTAACCCTTCGTACTTTTTTTTTATCAATTTAGTCGTTATTTTTCTTTTAACTTGCATTTTCTTTTCTCATAGATGTTACATTACTTTCCTAGTATAATAACATTTTCATATTAACTTATTGTTCTTTTAACTAGCTTGATTTGATTAAATTGATAATTTTTTTTAAAATATACAAAGTTAAATTTATTAAATTGAAAGACATTAAACAATCTATAGAGTATTATTTTGTTGAGTCCATCGACTATTAAAAGTTACAGAATGATCACTCAACTATTCATTATGTTTCAAACTTGTCTTTTTCTGTTAAAAAATAGAAGACATTATGAGCTGAACGTTAACATGTTGATTGTGATATGATAAAATCTGATCTCAGAATTTCAAGCGACTATTATATCCCAATCATTGTGTTAATGTCCAGATTAAATAATCACTAATTTTTTTAATGAAAAATAATAAATTTGGAACAAAATGATTAATTAGATAATTATTTTATAACTTTTAATAATAAAAAAATATAATAAAATAACATTTTTATAATTAAAAAATTATTTTATAATTTTTAATAATTAAATAAAAATAAATAAAATAAATGACGACTTACATTCCAAGCTCTTTCCTTCCTGTCTACTCTGAACTAAATGTATGGGTCATCTTCTTTCTTAATCAATCATCTCCAAACTACTAATCCGCTTTATGAATCTTCCCTTTTCCCCTTTTCTTTAATTTTTAGGGTTATCTGTTAAAAAACCATTTTTCCTAAAAAATCTCGCTTTTGTATTCTCCTGCTAGCAACATTTGTCATGTCAGTTCTGTCACTGAATTCTCTACCCATCGGATTCCGGTTCCGACCAACCGACGAGGAATTGATCGATTTTTATCTACGCTCCAAGATCAACGGGAAACGAAACGATGAAGTTGGAGTTATTCGTGAAATCGATGTTTGTAAATGTGAGCCGTGGGACTTGCCTGATTTGTCTGCTATACAGAGTCGAGATCCCGAGTGGTTCTTCTTCTGTCCGCTCGACCGGAAGTACCCGAACGGCAATAGGCTCAATAGGGCCACCGAGGCCGGTTACTGGAAGGCTACGGGTAAGGATCGGAAGATTAAGTCCGGGTCCAGCTTGATCGGCATGAAGAAAACTCTCGTCTTCTATACCGGTCGGTCTCCAAGGGGAAAGCGAACTAATTGGGTTATGCATGAGTATCGTACTACACTCGTTCAGCTTGACGGCACCAAGCCTGGACAGGTTCTTCTTTCGAATTCAGTTTCCGTTTAGTGAACCCCTTTTTTATTTTGAGCATTGAAGATAAAAGGTCAATTTTGAATATGGGTAGTGGAATTTAGTGAAAATCATGAATTCCTTGTCGTTGTTGATAGTTTAGTGCAAGATTACCGGAGTCCGTTTGCACCCATTTCTCTTTCTAATTTGGTCGATGCTTCATTTTCTTTTTTTAAGTACACAATTATTTGTGTTAATATATTTCTTTGGCGAGGTCAATGGTGATGATATGTTGAAGTAGTTGCTTTATTTACATGTAGTGCTAATTAGGTTATAGTTGGGCAAATTTGATGATTTTGGGGAAAAGAATGAGGTGTTGGAGAAATTATTATTTTAATTAGGGTGGAATGGACAGTGAGTGCATGGGGGAAGACGGTCGGACCACCTAGCGATGCTTGGAAGACACAATGTCTTCCTCCAGGCTGCATGTAGTCTGAACGTCAATCTTAGCAGAGTATCAACTCAGAAGACACCTTGTATTTCAGGCATTTTTCCAAAACATCAGCTAGTCCGGCCGTCTTCCCGAAGACACGACATCTTTTGGGTTGGTACTATGCTAAGATTGGCGTTCAGACTACATGCAGTATGGGGAAGACCATGTCTTCCAGGTGTCACCAGATGATTCGGCCATTTTCCCCCTATTCATTCCACCCCTAGTTGAGAAAATAATTTTCCATGCACCTATATGAGCGGTTCTTTTTTCCCACTACATCATCTGAAAAAATTTGCTGATATAGTTATTTTCACATATTTGTTGAACTTGTATTCCCTCTTGCAGAATCCATTTGTAATTTGTCGTCTATTCAAGAAACAAGATGAGAGCATTGAAGACATAAATGAAGTTGATCCTGCTGTAT